AACTTAATATTAAACCTAAACACAAAGACTTAAGCAGCACTTCTCAATAATATTAACATTGTATAATGTCTATTGGACACACGAACAAAAGTATCAGGAAGTATGTAGCATTAAAAAAAAGACAGCACCCGTAAAGGTTGCACGTGTCATCTTCAAGTTGGGCTTATTTGTATCTTCATTTGACTCCATCAGAGATCCTTTTCTATCCACCTAAATTGTAGATCCACAATACTGGTATGATAGTAATTTAAAGGTTCTGGCGGTTGAGAGAGATATTAATTTAATTTGAAACATAGCTAGCTTCTGCCCGCGACTTCGTACGCGCTTTCCCATTTTCTCCCGTCCTCGTAGGATTTTTTGTCATAAGAACCTTTTCCTGACAATAACAAATACAACAAAAAAGATATAGTGAAATCGGTCCAGCCATTCACGCGTGATGCCGTGACCAAGGGAAAAATGGATTCATTTTTATATATAGACTAGTTTCTGCTCGCGACTTCTTACTCGCAATCCCGTTTTCTCCCATTCCCCCGTAGGATTTTCAGGACTTCTTTCTTTCATAAGAACCTTCTCCTGACGATAACAAACACAACAAAAAATAATCAGCCAAATCGGTCGAGCCGTTCTCAAGTTGTGGCGTGACAACAGGAAACGGGTTTCATTTATATATATACTAGCAGACTCGACAGACATTGTCCTACATATAACGACTGCAGCGCCATCTGCCAGGCTGATTTGTAAATTTAAACCATCCAGGGTGCCACTCAAATGCATACAGAAAAATTCATTTAAATCGGTCAAGCCGTTTAGGAGGAGTTCAATGACATACACACGTACAGCAAAATTATATATATAAAGATTAATATCTCTTTGCAATAATAGTTCAGTATCTAATGATAGCAGTTTAGTTGACGCAAAACCTTACATTTTGTCTATAAAATATGTGGCCAGACAGAAAGTGACAGTGATAAATAATGGTATGTCTACTTTTTATCTCAGGAAGCAGCTGGCATATGACGCAACTGAAAACTCCTATAAATTCCAATTAACACGGCTGGCAAAAGCATCAGTAATTTTTGCGAAAAACGATGAAAATTCAACAACTTCAAAGACTCTTAAGCTAAGACGCTATCCCATTGGCATTTTGAGCAGGTTATTTCAATCTACCCCTAATTTAATTTCATCTCGAATGGATTTCGCTGGCGAAGGAGCGACATAAATATAACCATGAACGTCGTAACTCCTTATGATTAAATTGATACCTCACAGGGAATGGAACGTTTGACGGTCCTTTCTTTTCAAGCTTTACAAAACTTTGTTGAATGGCCGTAATAACGTGCCGAGCTCCACCTAATAACAGCTATAAAAATAACTCCGAATCGTTTCCATTCTTTTTTAAAAGAGAGCAGTGCAATGTGATTTCTTAACCGACGACTGTAATGACTAGCGATTGCGACGAGCCACTTCAATGAACGTTGATTTAATTTGAGCGAAGAACGGAGCATCGTAGGAGCCTGATGTAATGCTCAACTAAATAACGCGGACATCTACTCCCCCTCCCCCTCCACGCCCTGTGCCCGCAGTACCCACTTGTCCCCTACACCTCCCAGATTAATCTTTCACATGCCTCAATGTCATCTGCTGCAAATGGCACAAAAAGTAAAACGTTAAATATAACAGCAATATGAATTCTTTGCATTGTAAAAATCCACGTTATTCTGTTAGTTATTACGTTATGTAACCTAGACCCAATTCTCTACGAAATGGTTATGAAACTCGTAGGAAGGCGTATTAATATAAACTATATTTTACCTACGTTTTCATTAAAGTTACTTGAAAAAGATTTCGATAAAATCAATGTACCCATTTATCTTATTCCGGGAATTAAACCGGGCCAATTTAGCTCGTCTCCACATTCGCACCGATTTGAATCAACGCCAGACCAATATCCAGCGGAGCGACAAATCAGCACTTCGATATTGCCTCCATTTGGGCACCCACCTCAATATATGAAAATCTGATTTTTCATTGCGCACGCCGAGCGGCACGACCGGTCTCCTCCCGGAAATATTTAATATTAACAACTTTGTCGGTTCTGCGACGTAAAACTTCTAAAGCAAACGCAATTAAACGAACAATTCAAACTTCTTAATAGGCCATTATATCGACTTATTGACTATAGAACGTAGTTTTATGTCATTAATTTTAATTATACAAGTCGGTGCATATTGTGTTTAATTTCTTGCTTTGTTAGTTCTCGCAAGCCGTGCAACATTAGTCAGTACAGTGCGTCAAATACAGATGGGGTATTGTTGGAACTTGCGCAGCAAAGCTGAACTGAGCCAGCAATGTGTTTTAAAGTTGGAAAATTTCCTTAACAAGCATATTAAATTTCGTAGCTCGTTAATTTATGTCGCTACTTGAAATTGGAGATATTTTAAGAACATCAAGTGCGAGTTACTAGAAGCAACAATATTTTCGATATTGTCGAATATATTCGAACACAAATTGAACCAATTAAGATTATTTTAATTACATCCGTATCTGTAATTTGGTAGGCAACAACCGTGGCGTATAGGTTGTACTCCCTCATATTTCACATTCTAATTATTGCTCAGCTCGTGTACAAATTTGTATAAAGCAAACATCGCTTGCGACAACAGCCGTTTGTTTAACATTAATAATATTATGACTCCGGCAATGGGTATGCTAGATTACAAAACTCATTACAGACCTTTGTTATCGCGTTACAAATTATTTAACTACGTTATTCAAATAATATTATGTATTGTTGAATAGTGTTGTTTAGTTAGCCATAAATCGCTTTAGAAGTGAACGTTTAAGTTGTAGGTATTTGCAATTTTGTGCAACTTCGTCTTCATTCTTTCTCACAGATCAGATTGATCAATTACAATGCATTCCAGATAGATATTAATATCATCAAACGAATTACGTCAATACCAATAACTAAAGCAAAGTTGAGTTGTTTAAAATGAGGATAAACCGAAGTTTGCCACAGCATTAAAACCACTATTACTTTACCACAGACACAGACACTCGGTTCATGAAATAATTTCAATGAAAAATATAAAACATATACAAAAGTTCCTTTCATCACCATCAACCATCATTCATCATATCAGCCAGCTATCTGCTGTTAACCATAGGCTTAATGACTTCAAGATCGACTGGGTAGGAACGACCCGACGGCTTTATTAAGTCCCCTTTTTTAATTTAATAACTAAACCAAAAACTACAATAATACTAAATCCTTTATAAAACATTTATTTATTTTCTTCTTCTATCTACTACATAGGCCAATATTATACGCTAAAAGTTAATATTAAATATAAATATATTCCTACACAATCTGCCTAACAGAAAATTAAACCTGCCATATTTTGTCTACCGATAAATCAATCGTTACAGTATAGATGTACAGTTCTAACAGATTTGTACAAATTATACATCGCTTTTGACGTACAAAACCAAAGGAATATATTAATCTCCCACATAAAAGTCCAATAAAACATTAACATTTTAATAAACATAAAAACATGTAATACGCCTCATTGGCCGAGTGATCGCAAGTGCGCTGGCCGGGTAATGGGGTCTCGGATTCGATTCCCGGGTCGGGCAAAGTATGACTGGATTTAAAAAAAATTCTCAGCAGTAGGAATCTGTAATTGTACCCGGTATATGGCAATAGGCTCACCACCTATTACATGGGACTCATAACATAAATAGTGAAAAGTGGGTGTTACATAGTACACTGGCATTAGGTGCCGTAATGTGCACCTCTGCCTACCCCTTTAGGGATAAAAACGTAATGTTATGTTATGTTATACACTATTAAAATCACCAAAATGCTTCAACATTTTATTTGTGAAAAGAAATAGTGAATTGAAAAATATATTTTGATTCTCTGTTCACTTTTGTCATCGGTTGTACAGTTCCGATTCGATTCCATTGGGCTCTCATCATTTCAAAGGCACGAATATCGAAACTGTCGTAAGCGGCTTAAAGTGGCTTCCAATCTAGAATGAAGAGCCTTTATGTGTGTCAGTGTACAATAGTTAAATGTATTTATTGTATATGTGTGCGTGCACCTCACCAATACCGATATTATACGAGTACAATCGCTGAACGAAAAGTTCTAGGAATTTTCAAATAAATTCCGTTCTCGTGTCGCGGTAACGTGACACCTACATTCGATACCAACTTTTGAAACAAAATTGTAAGATTGTGTATCACTTTCCAAGGCAAAATGGACCTAAATAATAATAGATAATAAAACTAATATTCATCGTAACGTAATTATTGATTAGTAGTAAAAACCTAGACGAAACCGTAAAAATTCCGAACAAAAGCGATAATTTATTTTACATTTACATTTTACATTTGATAGTTTTCAGTATGAATGAATAGTCAAATATTCTAAGTTATTTCTCAGTTAAAATTTATCTGGTGGTAAGTCAGTAAGAGTCTGACACTCCCTCCTGCCTGACCCAGGCGGGAGAAGTCATTTGACGATTTTTCCCCCTAAAACAAGTTAGGGTAATTCCAGGGTCACTTAAGGGGCCAGTAGAAGGCAAATGTTGAACTGGTCCCATTTCGCGGCATACTTGGGACATGAACATGTATCCATCAGTACCTACTAATACAATGTGTATGTGAACTTGTATGTTTGTAAACGCACCCACGACACAGGAGAAAATCCTAGTGTGGGGCAACGTTTTATAAAAAAAAAGACTTATTTATACATACATGTCACTTGTTTTTTGGCGTGAAATAAAGTTTTTTTCTTTTTTCTTTCTTTCAGGATAGATGATTTCAATTTCTACCAGTAGCATTGCAGTGAGAGAAAAATTTCACTATACAATAGCAAGCACCCTCCCCGCATACCTAAAGAACCTTGTGACCGTAAGCGTAAGCGCAAGACCAAAGTTATCAATGAATGCGTGACTATAAAATAATACATTTTTAAAAGTGGACCATCTATCCTGGACTTATCCTATCTGGGTAAATAATACTTCTGATCTTTCCATTATCATCTTCTTTGCTTCGGGGAAGAATGGTAGTATATTGATCCAGGAGTCCAGGCTCAGCGTTAAGATACTGACCTGTGGTATGGAACAAATTTCATTATTAAACTAAGAATCTACTGTTACCTTTATAACGCTAAAGGAACTTAGACAAATTATGTAATTAACGTCCAAATACTGAAAGGCTACTGACTGTTAAGTTGTATTTAAATATCGTGCCATCTCTATCATTTTAAGAAAAATTTCTTGTGACAGAACTATACTTAAGCGCGACTTAAAATTTGAATGCCTTTACAGTATTTGGGCATGAATAGGGTAGTATCCTAAATTGCATTTTAATGTCCGTCTGGTAAACTATTTTCTTTTCTTACAATATTAAATACTTTCGAAGAATTATTGATTTGAAATATTGTGTGACGTCACGATTTACAACATTTTAATGGGTAGCGTAACGTATCGACCTCCTACTCCTAAACTTAACTACGTTTTATCAAAGTATTGTTTTGTTATACGACAAAATAAAAAATATGTGTCTAATATTTTTTCATTATCTAACTCGGCCTAATTACATTTTTAATTTTCATACACTGTCTACTACCCTATTGATATTTCTAGCCTTAGAATAACGCATCGGAGACAAAAAGCAAATAATATCAAATGTGATGCAACTTGTTTACTTTCTACCAAACTTTATCTTATCACACCATGTAATACCTAGTCATATATAAACAATTATTATAATTGAGCAACCTATAACTACATAAAAACATAGCAAAAAACCACATATTACCCTACAGCGCAAACAACTGTGAGAATAATCAAAGGTAAGGCAAAAAATAAAATTGACTCCTCGCAAAGATAAACCATTCACTACGGTTAGCTACTAAGTCGACGGCTTTGTTAAAACTAATTACAATACAATTTAACTCTTTGAGTACCGTCATTATAGACACAATTAAAGAACAATAGGTTGGTCACCGGTGACCGCGAAGTGTTTGACAGTTTAATATAACAAAGCATTGCACCCACCATTACTTTCTTACCCACATAACAAATACACGCGCCACTTACCTTAGTCTCAGCTCTGTAGGAAAAGCAGTGCGAGATGCCCCTATTCATGCCCTGAAGTATCCCGAACACGTCTCCAGGTCCCAGCAGTTCATGTGTGATCTCCGTTAGGTCGGCGCGCACTGACACTACTGATACAGTTCCTGAAGCCACCCAGTACATCCGTGCCTCACTATCACCAGCCACCACTATGTAGTTTCCTGAGATGAAAAAATTTGCTTTACTTATCGGTTGAATTATATCTTATGAATATGAAATATTACATTGTACAGTGGCATTAAGTGCCGAAATGTGCACCTCTGTCTACCCCTTCGGGGATAAAAAAGCGTAATGTTATGTTATGTTATCTGTGAATTATATCTTACTAGCTTTTACCCGCGGCTTCGCTCGCGTCACAAAAGGAGAAAAGTAGCCTATACCAATACACACAGCGCCATCTATACCAATTCTTTTGTTTTCCCTCGGGAACACCAAAATTTTCCGGAATAAAAAGTACCCTATTATTTAATTCGGACTTCTAATTTTACGTCTGCAAAAATTCAAAGCAATCGGTTTAGAAGTTACGGCGTGAAAGCGGAACAAAGAAACAAACAAACAAACTCACCTTCCCATTTATAATAGTAAGGATGATAGGTTCAAAGGACGGCTAACTTTTCGGTGAGTGAGTATCCTTAAAGGCGGTGGGGGAGAAAGACTAGCGAATGTGTGATTCTTACCTCCATAAAACCACAGGCCCTTCTAATAGCCCCATTGTGCAACATACTATACAGTACACTATAGGAAGTCCTATGTCTCCCATGAGCCTCACTGTGGTCACATCGCCACTATACCACCGTCGAATTATATCACTACACTACAACAACGAACTACTGTTTAATCTAAACTCGGAACCGCGGAGAACCTAACGGGTTACCGGGGCTCCAGCTCGAAATGCAGGAGTAGGAACGGGGTGGTTTTTAGTCAGTAAGAGTCTGACACTCCCTCCCGCCTCACCCAGGTGGGAGAAGTCATTCGATGATTTTCCCCCCTTCAAAAAATACTGTGTAATCTACATGATTGAAGAAATTCGAAAGATTGTAGAATGTGTCTAGTTATCATCACATCCCAAGAGTACTTAATAATAACAAGTACATAGGAAGGAGTAGGCAGAGCTGCACATTACGGCACTTAATGCCACTGTACAATGTAACACCCACTTTACACTATTTATGTTATAATAGGGATTCAGACTCCGTGCTACAATTGTCATTTTTTTTTAAAACCCAGTAATACTTTGCTCAAGACGGGAATCGAACCCGGGACCCCTTGCCCGGCCGTCACTTGCGACCACTCGGCTGACGAGGCAGTCAAGTCAGTACTTAGTAATGTAAACCAATTTGTATTCGTAGGTAGCTAGGTATGAAAATATAAGGTGGTAAATCTTTTGACACAGTTCCACAAAAAGCTACACATTTCTCTAAACTGCAATGGCATAGGGAATTTCAGATAGGATTCACATCCATGTTAGTTTTGATTTCCAAACGTAAAAGTTTGCTAAAGTGAATTTGAATACGTAGGTCTCTACGTATGTTAGATGGAAGTGCACTGATTTATTATGTTTCGCGAATAAATTTATTTAGCTTCATTGTTTTGATAAGGCATGTAAGTGTTTGCCCAAAAACATAGCATTTATTTAGCAATTCGTTGTCGAATTGTTTAGCATATTGTGACTTATGTATTATAATAATATACATAACATAACATCATGCCTCTTATCCCCGAACGGGTAACCAGAGGTGCACATTATGCCACTGTATAACACCCACTTTTCACTATTTATGTTGAGTCCCATGTAATAATGGGTGAGCCTATTGCTATATCCCGGGCACAATTTCAGACTCCGTGCTACTACTGAATTTTTTTTTAAAACTCAGTAATCCTTTCCCCAACCCGGGAATCTTACGACCGCCTCATAATAATATATTATTATTATATTATAATCTCTGATCAGAAATATTGATATATTTCAATTAACAGTAACGGTCTGTTTATTTTTTTAGAGCAATGACATTGTTTTTGATCGTATGTATTGTTTTAATCAGCAGAATATTAATCCATTTGAAAATTGGTAGGAAGGTAGCTTAGAGCCAGGAGACCGACATAGGATACTTTTTAACCAAAATTTGTTTTTACTTTTTACTAAAAATCACGAACGGAGACGGGAAAAAATGGGATTACGCGTACGAAGTCGCGGGAAGAAGCTAGTGACGTATATAGTCAGTTTTTAAATTATTTGAAAATTCACTCAGGTATAAAAAAAACATCATAATATGGATTAATGTAAAACGTTACTTACCAGGAAAGAATATAGTGTAGTCAAGAGCAACAGTGAGCTGTCGTAGCAATGACTCCCCAGTTTCAGCGAATATGTAGCAGTTCCTCAAGTGATGCCCAAACATGGCTGACATCAGGTCACACCGTCTTACGTAAGGAGTTTGTGATATGAGGAGAGGCAGCTGTTATTGTAAGTAGGTATCATTAAAGAGCATGCTGTTTGTCAAATCATGTTAAAGTTTGTTCGAAGAATGAGTGCAAATAAATTAAAAAAAAACTTTACCTGTCTTCCACGCTCCGTGACCCAAAGCTGCTGGATGTACTTCCAAAACTTTTGTAGTTGATAATCTAAAATACCATATAGTGATTTTTATAATCAGTGGAAACAATATAGTCGTAACGCTACTGTATTTTAGTCGTGCTAATATTTTTTATTTATTACAGTTACCAACATTAAATCACACAACTACAGTAAGTATAAAATATACAATCAAAGAGGAATGAACCTAAGTGTAACAAACAATTACAGGTAACTACAAAATTCACTGACGCAAATATGTGTGTATAAAAAAAGTTCTTAATTACTATCTTAAAATCAACCTGTATCAAGTTTAGTTTCTACATGGACTGGATAATAGTCATTTAAATACATTGGAACGGAATCGATCAAGTGAGTCCAGAATATTTATTCAAGGCTTAACTCAGACATGGTAGGGGTGAGTTTGCTACTATTATTAACTCACAGTTATTCTCAACTTATAAACAAATCCTTAAAATCTGGTTTGCTTGTACAAAGACTTCAGAGACTAGAATAGTCATAGTCATAAATGATGTTTACGCTAGACACTAACCAGACAACCCTTGATTCTTCAACATGTCGATAAGTTCCCTGGTAGCTTTCTCATATGCTGTCAGAGCATATTTAGTAGAGTACGCCAGCTGGATGGAAGCAGCCACGACGATAGCCGCCAACATCTTCCCACAAACTAGTACAACGGCCAGGATGACCATTGGAAGCTTCTCGTCGACTACAAACTCGTCACTACCAGTTGTGGTCAGTTGGGCAACGATCACATAAATTGAAGTGACGTAATCCCAGCGAATTTGTGGCGTCTCTCTGTGAATCGGATTATTTCGGTTTCTAGTTTGGATTTAGAATACAATCATGCTGGTCTATTTCTGTAGATTTGTTAATAGTTAGTTATAAAATGCAAGTAATATATGTAATATAAGTAATATATATATAAGTAATATATACATAGAAGCAGCAGACATACTGAGGAACTTATTTAACACATACATGTTAAAAATGATGGTTAAATGTATTGCGCCTACTTTTCGACTATTGTGTAATGAATCCTATAGTGAAGGAAGCAAGTATATTGCCAAAAATTGAACACAATTTTGAACTCCACGTTATTACTAAAAAGTGTGGTAGAGCCATGCTTAGGCACGAATGGGCCGGCTCGACCAGAGTAAGACCACGGCCTCACAGAAAACCGACGTGAAGCAACGCTTGCGTTGTGTTTCGTCGTGTGAGTGAGGTTATCGAAGGCCCAATTACCCTCTCCTTCCCCTCCAATCTCCCCAATTCCTGAATCCCCAACGATCCTCAAACTCCTGATGCCCAAAAGGCCGGTAACGCACTTGCAACGCCTCTGGTGTTCCAGATGTCTATGGGCGATGCCGATTGCTTACCATCAGGTGATCCGTCTGCTCGTTTACCGGCTTATGCCATAAAAAAAATAGTAAATGCAAGTGGTCGCTGCTGTGATTATCTACCAGGTTTTCGACCATCAGTATTCCAGGTGTTCGGCAGCAAGCACGAACTTTAAATTGGGTCTGATATGCCTGATATTTGACCAATAGATTCTATTCTTGTTTCTTGATTTACATACATGATTGTGTGGAATGTATGGGAGAGCTTGCTGTGGCACGAATGGGCCGGCTCGACCGGAGTGATACCACGGCCGAGCAGAAAAATTTACGTGAAACAACACTTGTGAGGTTACCGGAGGCCCAATTATCCCCCCAATCCTTGAATCCCAAACAGTACTCAAGTTCCTAATCTCCAAAAGGCCGGTAACGCATGTCCATGGGTGACGCCGATTACGTACCGGTGATGCTTCAGCACATTTACCGGCTTATCCCATAAAAAATACATGGTTTAAAAAAGACTTACGTATCAATAATGTGTATCTTCAAGGTCCGTATGATGCCGACAGGAGAGGTCCCAATCATTGCGAGCAGCCACACACAAGCGAAAGTGTGTATCATTATCACCACGCCTATTACAGTCATCACCGCCTGCACATTATTTTAAAGTTAACTAGGGATATTATTTTACAGTTAACTATACATATTATTTTACAATTAACTAGGCATATTATTTTACAGTGAACTATGCATATTATTTTACAGTTAACTAGACATATTATTTTTACAGTACATTGCAACCTCATTTATGCGTGTCGGAATGTTGCTCAAAATTAGCATGCTCATTTCAGACATGCTTGCGAATCGACAGGCGTTCGATTTTTGAACATTTATGAATAGGACGCTTTTTGGCATGCTATTTTAGGGCATGTGTAACAGTAACTTTAGTTTATTAAGAGTATTAGGTAAGTACCTGTAATGTAGTCAGATTATTAGTAAGTTCTCGAGAAGTGGTGCGGTAGAACTCAATCAGATACTTCAATCTCAGCAGTTTGGTTGCACGCAGGTAATGCATAGCTCTGATAGGATTCCTATAAAATAATTACACGGGTCTATTATATAACGTTATGCCTGTTATCCCCGAAGAGGTAGGCACAGGTGCAGCAATTTATGCTACTGCACAATGTAACACCCACTTTTCACTATTTATGTGTTGAGCCACGTGCAATAGGTGGTGAATTTATTACTATGCCATATTCCGGGCACAAATTAGACTCCGTGCCGACTGACAATTAAAAAAAACACCAGTGATACTTTGCCCGACCTGGAAATCAAACCCGCGACCCTCTACCCGGCAGTCGCACTTGCGACCACTCGGCCAACAAGGCAGTTACGAGGCAAAAATGTGTAAATAAAAAAAATATCTTAAAATCTAATTTCAACATAAATTATCAAATTATATCATGTTTCTACCCTCTGCCCGACAGTCGCACTCGCAACCACTCGACCAACGAGGCAGTAAGTCTATTAATAATGAAATATTTATTTCGTACATCGAAATAAATATTATCGAAATAATATTAAATAAATATACAAAACGTACTAAATGAATTTATGTAGATAATATACAGAGGTGTTATATTAACATATAGAACACTTTTTTCATATACCTAATAACTACGTGGGCGAGTTCGTGGGTATTTAAGTAACATAGCATGAGACAATATCCAAAATAGACTTTCATCTATCAACAATAAAATACATTTCTTAACCTCTCGCGCGCTTCTCGTACACACGGGTAAACGCGCGTTCTCGTACACACTGGTAAATATTTTAATAGAAAAGCGAATTAACTATTCTGTTCAATCTAGTAAAGAACGGGTTGCAAACTTGAAAATACACGTCACAGAAATAATATCCAATCGGTGCGCGTTTCTCGTAGTACCCGAGTGCGCGAGACGAGAGATACACGCGAGAGGTTAATAATATTTTCAAATAATTAATATCACAAGCTCACGGGAAACCGAATCCGAAGAATTCCAGTGGAAAATTAACGAGGAGATCAGTCCACGGCCACATTTTGTGTTTGAAATATCTATGGCGACATTTGGATCCGTCCAGTATCAGCTCGCCGTGCCTACTTATGTAGCCCTGTAAAACAATACTTATGAAACCTTCAGGCCCTATTAGTATTAGTTACGTATTATAAAACTAATCTAATCATCGTGGTTGATAAGGGGTCATTTATAAAATTAAATATTAACTCAATTCATAATGTACAGTACGCAATAATAATGATGAACACCCAATAAGTGACCACTGCTAAGCAAAGCCTCTTCTCACACGGAGAAGTTTTGAGCATTAATCACCACGCTTTATCAATACGGGTTGGCTAGTGCGAACGGGTGGGTATGCAATAATATCCAGTTAATAGTATTTACACAACTATTTTTGTAAGTGAAGATATCTTCCCTTCAAACAAAAATAGTTCTTGATATGTAGGTACGCAGAGAAACCATAATTCAGCTGAATAATTATCGGTTCAAAAAATCATAAATATTGCAATATTTGTAACAAATAGTCTGAAAAAATATCCCACTCCCTCACCTGATGCATACTAAGATAGACTTTGCAATAGAAGTAGATGTCCAAAAGCGCATGTATCCAGAATAGTATGGCACAATCATTCAAGGTGACCAGGTCATACAGACCCACAACGTAATGTATTGTTACTGCTGTACACGTCACATAGCCGTAACTCTGCAAATAGTTATTAAATATAACACTTTAGCAGACAGATCACCTAATAGATAGATCTATACGGAACCGCGGAGAACCTAGCGGGTTACCGGGGCTCCGGCTCAAAGTGCATGAGTAGGAACGGGGTGGTTTTTAGTCAGTAAGAGTCTGACACTCCCTCCCGTCTCACGCAGGCGGGAGAAAAAATAGACCGATAGATAGATAGATATATGCTTTATTGTACACCATTTAAACCGAGTATGTTCCTAATTTGAGTTTGTTTTTACGTTAAAGCGGTCAGAAAGGCACCGCGTTTAGCCCCCTGATTGGTTGGTTAACTTAGAGCTAGCCAATCAGAGCGTCGAACGTAATACACATGTCGATTGCGTTAACGTAAAAGAAACTCACACTAAGTTAAAGTGATGACGCCCAAAAATACCACAGGAATGAACTCAAGTGTTATCGGCTTTTTGGTAGAGGAAGTAATGGGTACCTCTTACCGGTAACCTCAATCTATAATTTGTATATTAAATAGGAATTTCCTTTTTGATATATCGTTATTCAATGTCGTGTAAAAGTGTTACTTTATAACCTATTTGTAAAAATAAATATCATTTTATCATTTCATTTCATCACATTAAACGCCGCGGGGGTCACCGGTGACCGACATTAGCAGAGAATTTGCCTTCAACAATTTTCTATTGGCAGTCAAAGGCAGGCAAAAAAGTAAAAAAGAAAATATACGAACAATAATTTTACGTTATTATTTTTATAAAAACAGTCTAGTTAATGTTTACATTTTGATCAAGCGTGAAATATTTCTCGTTGGCGGCATGTTTTGTTGAAATAAGGCGCCAAAGTAGCACATAAAATATGGGCTTCCTAAGTATATTGTTTCTAGAAAAGCCACGCTACAATAAGCTGTGACTCAACGATTACCTGTACATTGTAAGGAAAGTTTCATTTTTAGTGTCATTTTATTTATGGCATAAGCCGGTAAACGAGCTGACGGATCACCTGATGGTTAGCAATCGGCGTCGCCCATGGACACCTGGAACACCAGAGGCGTTACAACTGCGTTACCGGCCTTTAGGGGATTAGAATTTTGAGGATCGTTGGGGATTCAAGAATTGGGGAGATTGAGGTAGGGCCTCCGGTAACCTCACTCACACGACGAAACACAACGCAAGCGTTGCTTCACGTCGGTTTTCTGGCCATGCATGTCATGTTATAAAAAAGTAAAAAATAAGACCAATCAAGATAATTGTACTTATACTGGTGAATATCCACAAGCAATCTATCTATAAAAATATTAATACAGGCGCGTTTTATGCAACATAAAATAGGATCAACACTCTTAAGTCCATCTATCGCACTCCGTACCCAAACGCCGGAGACAAATAAATATCCAGTTCTCCAACCACAAGTGCTCATTACGACCGTATCAATTTACCTGAAACATGAGCGTTCCGGGCCTCAGCAGATTAGAGGCGTGTGAGTAACTGTGATACGTGGACACACTGGCTGACGACTTCGATTGGCTCAGGTTAGACTGTGACGCGCTGCTCATCGGAAGTGACCCTGCGGATTAGGAACACGATAGTTTGATGACAGCCCTGTTTGAACGCGCCGAGGAAAATGCTGCCTTTAGTTGGACTGTTATCTTAGTAAAACGACACTATTGTTCACGTAATGGTATAGATACCTAGAAAAGATTTGCTGTAAATCTTTTTATGCTGTGTTAAAGGTCTTAACACGTGTATCAAGTAGTACTGTGGGAATGAGTTGGTATTATCCAGTTTATTGTTTTTGCCTTTACCGCTTTCTACCAGATTACTATGAGACAAAGATAGTGGTCAATATTTCAGTAACTTTTATGATTCTTCTTTTAATTTTTTTTAAATCGAAAATTAAAAATTGCGGCATATATCCTACATTAGGCATATATAGTATGTTCCTCTTATAATCCTCTATTCTTGCGAGTAACGATAAGTGAATGATAAAGTAATGTCAATGTTTATTTTACTAAACCATTTCCCGTAAAACTAACCTGACAAGTCAAATCTACTGGAACCACTCTTCGAATCACCTCCTGATTCCATAGACAATATGTCTAAAGTCGATTCGTCTGTGAAAAAAGGGTTATTTGTCATTAAACTTATAACTATAGATTCTTATCGATTTGGCCCTTCTTAGTCAGTGCAATAATGATAAAAGCTAATAGCAGAAGTTATTAATCCCTTCAGTCCACTCTCAATTTAACACTTCATACAAAACTTTCATTTCTTCTTCTTTTTCGATACAAATTTTACCAACTTTTACCGTTTACTTTTACCTCGTAAAAGTGAATTGGCTCCACTTATAAACTTAATTAACATATTGTGCGGTTTCAAAGAGAAATCTTACAATTACCAGTCTATAGAGAGATTTTTTGCTGAAAGTATTTTCTCATTACAAGGGACTGAATACGTTTTCTAATGAAATAAACATTATTATCTTTTTGCGTAGTAAAAAAAACAAAACACATAGGGAAAAAGTTAGTTAAAATCAGAAATTCTAATTGAAGAATCTCAGAAACAGGAATAGTAACATGTCGTCTGATTCAGCGAAATTTTTGAAGCTGAATTACGGATTACAGTAATCTATAAATTGTAAGTCTCACCTTCGGAGGAGTCGTCGTCATCCATCTCCATATTAATAGGCAAGATATAATCTCGAGACATCTCAAAAGCCTTGTTCAAAGGCTCATGAATCTTGGGGTAATATTTGATCAAGTTGAAGAAAGTCACACTGGGTATAACTAATAAATCAAGGCTCCGACTCGCATAGATCGTTACTTCCGAACATGATATTGGTTGCTGAAAATTTTATGGAAATATTTTATATTTTATTTACTTAAACTGTAGTTTATGTTTGATTTATTTATTGAGTTTACTAGAATATACACATGCACATTCAATGATTTATACGTGATATAGAGAAAGATGAAGTTACAGTTAAAGCTTACTGGACCCGATATTTGAACACACAATCCTTGAGTGACCACTCGCAAAAAAGACTAACAACACAATACGCAACCACCGTCAAACAAAATCTGATTAACAAATTACTAAGACCTAACATTAAAAAAGTAATTTAGGTAATGCTACAAATAAATAAATGGTTTAAAACATACATAAGTAAATCTGTTAATTACACAAAACAATTACTCACGCCTGTGAAATTACCGAACATTCCACCTGGGCCCATACACGTTATCATTTCATTATATGACGTCAGAACATCTACCTGAAATTCACACATACATGTAAATACAACAATACATAGTATACTCTACTAAAGCAGTGGTTCCCAACCGGTGGTCCGCAGAAGACAAATACGGTACGCGACACGAAAAAGAAAATACACAAGACAACATCGCTCGAACGCACTTTTTAATGTAACATTGTTTTTCATTTGAAAAAATTTATTTGTCGTTCTACCTTGACATTTACTTTTCATTTTTACAATTGTTAGTGCTAGGACCGTGCGAGACTTGGCCTCGCCATTTCTTTTCTAATTACCCATATTCTGACAGTTTGAGTTTTTGTGCGACCCACGCAAATGTTTAGTTTGGTATTGTTCGTCGAATCAGTCAGCCTCACCTGTTAATTCAGCTGACTGTAAACCGACACAGGCGTACTGCCTTCAGAACGGGTCCGCTCAAATTGTTGTGGGTCTTTCCTCAAAAGGCCACTACAGAAAGAACTTGCACGGTTCTCACACATAATCTGTTATACATATTGTCTGGACTTAAAGAGACGGGCCTCTGAGTTTGTTTCGGCATTTCTTCTCAGAGTAGTCAGTTAGGAAATGTCGACCTCATCTTTCGCTTGATAAAATTGACGTGTAAAAGTGCTGCCTTGTAGCCTATTTGCAGAAATAAATTCACTTGTTTCACGAACAAATTAAGCTTATGTGAAAGGAGACAACTGAGGGGAGCAAATGATTTCAATAATCCAAGTCACTATTTTTATCAGAAATGTCAGTATGACGACCAAAAGCATTAGTAATACTAGTCCTTTACCTAACTGGAATGATGTAAAAAAGACCTTGATCAAGAAAAGGCTCGCTAATTACTTACAGTCTATATTTATGTATGTATGTATGTATGTATGTATGTATGTATGTATGTATGTATGTATGTATGTATGTATGTATGTATGTATATATGTATATATGTATGAATGCATGCATGTGTATTGTGTTGTACTCGTGTGTAGATATATATATTATAATTATGTTTATTTATGTTTATCTCTGAAATATGTAAGTATATCTATTTTATTTGCTCTATTAAATAGTTGCTTGCTTCTTGCTCACACCATTAACTCTTCTCTGCATCACCCAAAGGTCAGACTGGGAGAAAATGCCTGCGGCATTAAGTCTACCTTATGTACATTTTGTGCATGAAGCTTTATAAATAAATAAATAAATAAATAAAAGGTTGGGAACCCCTGCTCTAAACAATGATGGAGCTTGATATAGGAACAAAATTAAACGAAACATGTTTCTATTCCAAGTCCCTAATATGAGTATCTATTCAAAGAATGTATTGTCATAGATATAAGGGACAGGATCCCATAGTATATTACAAGGTATATCCTTATTTCTCTTTCCATGTTTACAATCCAAACGTACTGAGTTGTGCAAAAACGGAATAATCAAAAAACCTTCCGTTTTGTTCCTGTTCAGTGATTCGTTATGAAGGGTGGAAGTGACACTGTAGCTAAATGGATAGAATATACGATTCTATATAGAAAAACTAGCGTTGAAAGAAAGTCGTATAGTTTTATTTTGAATTTTCAATAATTGCGCAATGAAATGTGAACGTTTAATTAAACTTTGTTTCTTTTCATATGAAATAGAGCAACAAATGAAAACTCGTTTCCACAGTTGTTACTTATCACATAGGTTTTCTAATCAATGAAGAATATTCAATATATATTTTTAATAAATAAATCATTAGTAAATTAATAATGGAAACCTTTCTAAGTAACCTATACGACACATATTTAATTAAACACTAAGATTCATTAGAACGTAGCTCATGAGCACATCTACAATCATATACTCAACTTAGTAGTTTAATAACATACTCAGACTAAGTTACAGTGTGACTTCCATCTTGTATAACTTTGGGATACATCCCATCCTCGATCATTTACCTCGAGCGATATTTGACTTGAAAGATTGACTGCGAACATGGACTTGTAGCGTAATAAAAACGTCTATGAATATAAAAAAGATATGCATAACTTCATTCATTTCTGGGAAAACAGGATAAACATAAAATGTTGTTCAATATATATTTACACGGGTCATGATTGCTGACATTAATACATTAAATAAAGTAGACCGAAAATATTTAATAACATAATTCTTCCTTACTTAAATATGTATATCATTTGCGATGAAAAAGCCTAGCTAGAAAAGATAGCCAAAAAACATTTGACCTTACCTTGCCACGATAAATAATGAAGATATAGGGTTGTATATCCCTACATTGTATGACAGTATCACCCCTGAGAAAGTACATTTCGTGTAGGTGCTGAGTGATGACCCTGATGAATGATCTCTCGACTTTGCCGAACAAAGGTACCTCGCGTAGAGCTCGTTCATACATGAACACTAGCGTGTCTTCCATCAAAGCCGAGTTTAAGTGACGACATATTCTCTATTGATTAAAAAAGAAAATACATATTAAAGAAATATACAATAGGTATTTCTATTGTCTTACTGGTGGTTTCTCTATCCTATCTTAGATTACATTTTATAATATAAGGATAACAAATGGTAGTATTACCAGTGTACAATAAATATTTACTACGTTAGAGAGCCAAAGTGGTGGGTATAGAGCTCATTTGACCACCATATAAATAGAGGCACACAAATATTCTACTTTAGAAATGATGTTGAATTGATTTACATAGTTCTATATTACAACAAAGCCGCAACTAAAAGCGACTAACATATCAACAACACAATAAGCAAATAAATATATTACTCAATAACAACAACGAAGCGACTTAATTACAAACAACCCGTCAAATGACCACAGTTGAACATAATAAGCTCTGTAAAGACCACAACAAAGGGACAGGACAGGGCAGATTATTCAAGTATTAATTAAATAATATATCATCGTGACCCAGGTTCTAATTCAGTAACAAAATGATGAAGCGACATTGCTACCCGCACCTGTCACCACTGAATGCCACCTGCGGTCACCAACTGATAGTGAATCGATATAATGTGGTCGACTCAGCACTCGTATTATTAGAAACACACGTATTAGATAGTTCCGCTGACTTGGCAATAGCAGAATTGAACTTTCTCTCTGTTCAGCACATTTTTAATCAAAATGTATCGTGCACAATATCAAAATCAAAACTGTGCTGTCCCTTTTTGTACGGGAACGTGATAAAATTTCAGTATTGAAACAAACACACACATAAAAATGTTTTACCACAGCCCCAGTCAGCGTTTCACCAGAATTAATGTACTTTTGTGTGAAAAGTGCATAACGCAGTATTTTACGACTACGTGACCAATGGAATATTTGTTTTTCAACGTTCACAATTTTGTAAAACATTATGTTTGTAACACATTGTGAATAGTACTCGTTACTATTTAAACATGGTGACTAGATTTTCCATTTACTTGCAGTAAACAATAATTTTCTAGTTTCACAATATTTTTGGCTACATTGTAAAGTTTAGCTTACCTGTGGATTACTGCCGTTGGTTCGTTTCCACACATATTCGAAATATTTCAACGTTTTCACCGTCAGCATAGGATCCACGTTCTCTTGGTACAGAAAGTTGGCTAGATCCTTTGTTTTTTCCTATAAAACAAACGAGGACTGAGCTCGTTAAAACTAATATAATTACTGTACTGGAACTGCAGAGTCGTAATATTTTTAATGACGGAACTTTAGCCGTAATACGTGGCGCTAGACTACTGTATGGTCTATCTCGGCTGTTAATTAGATTTTGTTCATTGTTACATTCTATTCCATTTTTAAAACAATCTTTGAAACCAGAACGAGTACGTCACGGCCGGGTTGCTGCCTATGTTCTAAATAAATAGCATTTTTCCTGTTGGCAACTGTTTGATAATAGCTTATTGATTTCCTTTTATGTTCGTTTTATTAACTTTATAGATATTTGATCGGCTATGAAGACAATTGGAACATACAACATATTAAAGTAACAATAATTTGAAATGAATTTCTTCGTAAAAATTTCTGCTTTTTGTACTAATTGGCTTATCTTGAGGGCGTTCTATTGAATGTTGAGAAAAAATATTTTATTTTCACTTGCTCAGTGAAAGGGCAAATATAATGGGGTGGTTTGAAATGGCTTTCACATTTCTGTGGCTGTAAGTGGCATCCTAAAGGCGATAACTTTTTATCGCCTTTGATACTAACAACAGCGGTTGCCTGTTAATGTTCCACTAGGCGTACTTTAGCGAAACTTACCCTCGGAGGGTGATAACGGTGATAACAGCTTCATACACCGACTCCGTATTAATTATTATGTTCAGTTCATAACAATCATAGTAAAAATGAGAACAACACGCGAAAGTTAATTGTTCGTAACCAGAGCCGAGAGTGGTCATACCACACTGTTCGTTTTATTATTTTAAACATCAATTAAATTTGTTGACATCGTTATGCGGAGGTTTTTCATAAATTTAAGCTTTCCCCCAATTTCATCACGTGGACTATGCTTTTAAACGTATTATTTTAATTTTATTTTCATAATGGAGCAAAAACAACTCGTTTAATTGATTTTACAATATGATTTGTTAAGAAAAAACTGACCAAGAAGTTTCGTAGCAAAAGCGTAGCTCGTAGGCCTCGTAGCAGTCATGCCTACAACGTATGCTACGCCGGACGTAGAGGGGCGATAAAATCTTCTTGCCTTATCGCAAACTATTTGGGGTCGGCACAATATGTGTTTTTTTCCATACTAACACTGAGTCGTCCTGTTACAAACTCCGAGGGGCGATAAAGTGATGACTTTGGTATTTGATGTAATACAATATGTTCAATTGTACGCTGCATTATATCGTAATTGTTGTAATATCAATCGTATACTTAGCCCATACGGCTTAATATGAATAAATCTTTGATAAGTTAAAGAGAAAAGTTTAATTTTTTTAAAATAAATACTAACGTTATGTTCCAATAACGCATGCGCAGCGGCAGTCCTAGTCGAGGCCACGTATCCAAACATGAATGCGAAGTAGAGGAACCCAGCGAGCTGCAGAACCATCATCATCCAGAGGTCTACAGAACTCGTCATATTCACAGGCGGACAACCCAAACCTGTAAGACATATCCGATAACGAATAGAGAAAACTCCAAAGATATTACAAGCAATACAATATTCGTAACCCAAATACAATTAGGAAAGACAGGTACTTACCCACAAATAACTCGAAAACCCAATAGAAAGTGTACAGGTATTCCATTATTGCACCTGTTATACATAAACATTAATACTATTTACATATATACTAAAAATTATTCACTAAAATCTATTTTTATATAATGTAGTGTGTGTGACACCATAGTAGATACAATCCCTGAATCCCTAATGATCCTCAAACTCCTAATCCCCAAAAGGCCGGTAACGCACTTGTAACGCCTCTGGTGTTCCAGGTGTCCATGGGCGGAACCGATTGCTTACCATCAGATCATCCGTCTGCTCGTTTACCGGATTATGCCATAAAAAAAATATGTTAGTTATAACAGTTTTTTTTTCTTTGTGTTACTATGACAGAACCATTTTACTTCGGGACGAAAACGAAATAGGTTTCACAATGCGTTGCTTGAGGTGTTTAAAGACGTACTAATAGAAATTTTCCTTAAATTTTCATAGGAACTATAAAAATAAGAATCACTTATGTATGTATATGAAATCGCGACAGAAAGCTAGTCTTTAATAATAACACATTACTCACGCGTAGGCTCATACGTATTACTAGAAACGATAAGAATCTTTGTGCAATTCACGAATATGTATGGCGAATTAGCATTAGGTAGGTAAGGCTCGCAGGCGTTCGCCAAAATGAATGCGGTGGCTAAACTGACGATAGTTACTACTATCGGTAGGAACTTTAGCAGTACAACAGCAGGATTTGTTCGCATTATATCACTCTCCCAGTACGAGAAAGCACCGGTTATTCTGGATACCTGAACAATAGAAAACACTGAATACTATTGTGTGAACATCTGTCTATCTAGATACGATTAGATATAGCCTTTTGTTGTTATTCTGTTCTTTTGTGTTCACCTCTTTTCCAGGCATTTTCAGGCTTTTTCTGGACGTGTGAGTATCTTAGTTTCTGTATTAGTATTTTACAGGTGGAGACTAAAAATTTTTTGGTTGTTGGAGACTTTCATATATAGCCCAAGCCTATCCTTACTAAATCGTTGTCATAGAATTAAAAAATACATAGTCTGTGTAATAATCTACATTGGTTGTCATTGTATATCCTCATCGCATTATAAATCCAAAGAAGTTCTGAATCTCAAAGTCTATTATTTTACTACTACACGTATTTTATGTTTAAAACACTGCTTTGTCGTCCTTAATAAAAAATACATATATGAAGGAGATAACTATGCTGAAAAACAAACATCAAATAACTCAATTTACACTTACCAAAAGCATTCGATTGAGTCTATAAATATCCATATCAGTATTATCATTTACTATTTGGAACTGAAATAAAAACGCGTCAAATATAGATTCACTAACATCGACTTACTAATAAAAACAAAATTAAGGTTAAGGACTCACGGCGCGGTTTTTCCGGAGCCCAACGCGGTTGTGGGCCCGCTGCCTTTTTAAAAAACAGATATGTACTATATGACTGCACGGTTGACGCGGTGGTGTTCGATTCCCGCACGGAACAATTCTTTGTGTGAACCACAGATTGTTGTTCCGGATCTGGGTGTCATGTGTATGTGAACTTGTGTGTTTGCAAAGGCACCAACGACACAGGAGAAAATCCTAGAGTGGTGCAACGTTTTTTTTAAAAAGAGTAAGTAAGATATATATGTAAAAATCAAATCAATTTTCACGGCGCATTTTACGCCCGCGGCGTTTGCGGTTGTTTGCGGCTCCCGCTGCACCGGCGGGCGGGCGCCGCGGTCCGCACCCACGCGGTCTGCGATCGGTTGGCGGGCGATCAAAATGGGACGGCCGGTGGGAAACTCAACTGATTGCTTAACCTTTTTTACTTCTTCTCCTCTTATAATATTTTCTGATTCACTTCGTTGCGGGAACCAAGACAGTTACTCATGAGTTGCAGCGGTTTTGAGAGGTTGTGGCGGCCTTGTCCCATTAAAAAAAAATTATTGCTTAATCGCCCATCTTGCGATAATCAACCGACAAGTTTGCGAGCGATAATCGCAACGTGAGGAACCATTTCGCCACCGCGGCGGGCCCGGAAGAAGATCACGCCGTGAGTCCTCAGCCCAAATGCAATGCAATGTACTTACAACTTCTTCGAATGGGAAAATGCTGATAATATCGAGTAAGAAGGCGTGCTTCAAGTATCTAGACACTGTTAATAAAGGATGTGTAACGAGAAGGGAATTCTCATTATAGTATGCCACATACGCCATTATCACTACATCTATGTACAGAATTATATCACACCAATTATATGCGCCACTATTCTTGTGTTGTTTTGACTGAAAATATAATGTAGGTGATATTAGATATCATTTTTATATATTGATACTCTTAGCACATATCTATCAATTGGCTAAGATAGTTGATTATTCTGTTTTATGCAGTACTAGCTATTGCCCGCGACTTCTTCCACGTAGAATATGATTCCTGTTTTATTCCATGGAAGCATTTAATCGGGATAGAAAGTATCCTATCATCTAAGTCAGTCCATACTCTGCCTGTATAGGAAATTTTATCAAAATCCATTCAGTAGTTCAAATTTTATCAAAATCCAAACAATCATATTTACAATATTAGTGTGACTCTTGACAATCACTAGTTTCTTGTCACTATATACGCCAATTAGTGAAGTCTAATGACCTACACGACATTTGCTGTCACCGAGAGCATTCGCGTGCAATGTAACGTAATACATCTGAGCATTACATTAATGAAGGAGGAGAACCGAGCATTACAATGCGCACCTTGTAATGATACAATGTTTAATATCTTGATTCAATTTGTAACATCAATATCTGACATCTTGCTATGAAATGCTCAAAGTCGAATCTATATGTTACTTTACACGCAACTGTTCGCTAGTCAGGGAGTTATTATTGTAATGTAATGTTCAAAGTCGAATCTATAATATTACATTAAACGTGAATGCTCCCGGTGAGAGAGCACCTTTAACCTCAGTCACCCTAATGAGCACAACGTAACATCCAAAAAAGGTTTCATAATAAAAATAACAAACTATAACAAGAACTCAAACACAAGCGACACATACAACTAAATATTACTTCATATAGTGGAACAGTAACACAATAAAACATGGAAACTTACAGCAATATCGTACGGTACAGCGAATATGTAAAACACGGCGACAACGAAGCGAACAGCGCACCAGAACTTCAGGAACAATCCATGGGGAGTAATGCATCCTGGCATGAAGATGTACCTAACGTGTCTGCACACGGGATATCAGGTAACAAACATGAATCATGTTTCAAATTACATGCTAAGAATAAATAAAGTTTAAACTGTTGTTACGATTGTTTGTACGGGGTAAGATATTTTATTTGTAAATATTTTATAACTTTACGCCTGTTTATTCCCGAAGGGGTAGGCAGAGGTGATCATTACGGCACTTAATGCCACTATACAATGTAACACCCTCGATTGCCAAAGAAGAAGAAAAAATGTAACACCCACTTTTCAGGATTCATGTAGGTAGTAGGGGTGAGCCTATTGATGGCAATAGGAAGGCAGAAGTACGGAGCACGAGCTACTACTGAGAATTTTTTAAAAACCCAATAAAATTTTGCCCGCCCCGGGAATCGAACCCGAGACCCTTTGCCTGTCGCACTAACATAAATAGTGTATAACTAGTGGGTTTTACCTCTGTGTGCACCTTTGCCGAGCCCTTCGAGGATAAAAAGTCGTGATGTGATGATATGATAATATAATGAATACTAAAATGCCGTGACCCGAGCGCAATGAGCCTGTAGCTGCAGCTATACATAAAATAATAACAATAACATCAAGGTGTCCATCCTTAAACATATATCGCTTCCAATATCACCGTCGACATCGACCTTTATCAGGTCGTCTGTGCAAGTGCCATCTATCCAGTTATCGCCTTTTATATAGTCAGAATTCTAATAAAAATAAACTTTTATATATAAAAAAAACATTTTGCTTTGTTTAAACCTTTTTATTCCTCTCGTGGACCTTTTAACAAATGTTAAATGCTGTGCCTGTTCGTTCGAACAATGCATTCAGATTTTTGCACTTTTATCCATCTGAATGGGTCGTTGTTTTCGAAATATCCCAAACAAATCCGAAGCATTATTCCGAATCTATCTTTACCTACTATGAAAGTAAGTTTTAATATTCATTAAATGTAGAACCCGTCTTACCTGTTAATAATGAATTGTTCTCAAATAAAACCTTGTTCTTACAAATACCTTCGTTTTAACAAGTACCAAAAACATCATTGTTCCGACAATAATGGGGCTAATTAATCTTATAAAATGTTTACACAAAGCCTTACATACCTCAATACTCCTAACTTGTTGAATGTATTTACGTAATGAATTCTCTGTTCCCTCGTCGTTAGAAGCACGAAACTTTCTTTTATCTCTTGCTATAAATAAAACGATTAATTAAGTTTAGTTCTATAATAACTAAACTAGATGTCATTACCACTGCCGGTGACTGTCATTGCTGGACTAAAGGTCTCCTCTACATAATCTCCATGTTTAATAGTAGGTTGGTTAATAGAAATATAGTGTGAATGTGACTAGTTTTTATAATAACTATCGTGAGCCATACTAAATTAACTAATAATCGAGGGTTACTGACGCGCTTATTAGGAACAACCTCTCTGTGGTTCGAAACTAGTAGAGTTTTTCACAGTATAGTCACGTGAGTAACCCGCGATTTTTAGTTAATTGACTAGTTTTTTTATATTTGTTGGGTTGACGATTGGCCACTATCTCGCCTGATGGTAAGCGATGATGCGGTCTACAACGGAGTATGTCGTTTCAAAAGCAACCTATCCACTCGGGCCTTGATGACACCCAGGTATACTTCAGGAAACATAGACTCTGGCAAAGAATTCCACTCCTTCAGTACGCACAAGGAAGTTTAATGTATCAAGCCACGATCGAGGCTCATACCCGTTAGCTGCGCTAACAATAAACGATGTTCCTCGGTCAACTTAATTGTTCTTTTACAAAAAATCGACGAACACGATATATTATTTAGCCTGATATAATATTAGGTACACTTTTGTTTGTTATTTTTTTTAAGGGGAAAAATCATCAAATGACTGCTGCCGCCTTGGTGAGGAGGGAGTGTCAGACTCTTACTAACTAAAAACCACCCCGTTCCTTCTCCTGCACGCCAAGCCGGAGCCCCGGTTATCCGTTAGGTTCTCCGCGGCTCCCAGTGTAGATTAAACAGTAGTTCGTTGTTGTAGTGTAGTGATATACTTAGACGGTGGTATAGTGGCCAACCCTACAGTTTGGTAGAAACAGCTTCGAGAGGGAGGCTCCTAATCGGCATCGGCCCTGTTGTTATTAGGTATTATTAGGTACACTTGGTCTACTTACCGCGATCCTATTAGTTTTAGTATCCAGTCGTCCGATCAGAGGTTTAGCATCTTCAAAAGCAACAGCTAGTTTTTTAACGTTTTCATCTGCCAACGCCTGGGTACAGAGAATGCTTAACATAAGCAGACTGTTCCTTTAATCGAAATTATAAAACAAGAATTAGAGAGAATCATTAATTGAAGAGTTTAAACTAAATTTTTTAGATGTTGGGTTAGTACAGACAGTTTTGGCAAGGCCTAAATCCAAGTTAGCAGTAAAACTAAATAGATTAGCAAAAATACCTTAATTGACGATTCTCTCTCGATAAATTAATTTATTTATATTATTACTTAAGGTAGTGTAATTAAAACTAAGAGGGTACGATGGGGTTGGCCCATGTGGATAAAAACCCCAAAAAAATAAATAGATATAATTTTTTTTTTTTAATCGAAAGTGCCTGATTTTCTAGTTTTGTAAAGCAAAATGATCAATGTTTTGCACTAAGTATTTTAACTTGGTCTAGCTAACACTGAACCAAATGGAATGAACGTTGAGTTTTTTATTATTTCAGTCATTGAGCGTTTAACTTTTCTAACCATTTAGTTCATGGCACTGAAACGGCTTATGAAGTTAGTTTATTGTGACGTATGATGTACTAAATAAAACAACATAACGTAACATCACGCCTTTTATACCCGAAAGGGTAGGCAGAGGTGCACATTATGGCACTTAATACCACTGTACTATGTAACACGCTCTTTACGTTACGAGTCCCATGTAATAGGGGGTGAGTCTATTCCCGTATACCGGGCACAATTCGAGACTCCGTGCTACCAATGACAATTTTTTAAAAACCCAATACTACTTTGCCCGACCTGGCAATCGAACCCGAGATCCCTTGCCCGGCAGTCGCACTTGCAACTAATCGGCCAATGAGGCAACTAAATAAAACTTTAATTAAATTGTCTTCTCCAATCAGAGTCTACATAAAACTGTCGATAAGTATTTCTAAATTGAACAAACGCTTCCATTACTTAGAAACCACGAGAAATATTTTAATTTGGTAATACATTTGTACATAGCAACGCTGTAGTAATTTATCAAGCGGCCATTTCCTCGCCAAAATTAATTTTCTAAATATTACCTTACCTACATTAAAGAATTCGTACCTACTTCTACGTAAATAAACGTTTACAAAAAGATGCCAAAGGAAATTGAGTGGGCGAGTAATCGATGAGGAAAATCGAGTCGAAGAACGGTAAACGAGTTCTAAATTGTGTAGCTGTGAGTGTAATTTTAATTTCAACTTTTAAAATATCATTGGTGTTCCCAATAATATCATTGACTAAGGAATTTTCCAGATATTTTAATCAATGGAGCTCTACTTTTTGTAGAAAAGTATATTATCTGACAGGATCTACAAAACCACCTCAGGTATCTTTTAAAATGTACGTATCATGTTACTTTATAACATTGCACTGACTCATGTCGGCACCAGATATCAATTTAACTTGGCCCTTTTATAACACACAAACAGTAACCCACACATACATAACATCACATGCAGAGAAGCTAATACATCAGGCACAGACGCAAGCATACAAAGGTTCGCTCATCTGTTGTTGTACGGCGATATTAAATGCATGAATCACCGTGATAATGGGGTGACTAATGTCCGGGAACGTTCCCCAGCACTGCACCAACGAAGTATATTCCACATGCAGTAATATGCAGTTTGTTGACGTCACCACCGTATATACCTAGACAAATTATACATTCATTACCGCCATGTTTATGCAAACCGCTTTTCATCTGCAAAACTAGAACATTAAGACAGTTTTAATTATACTTTTGTCAGAATTCTCATCTGTACCGGGTATTGTGTTTTGCTTTGAATTCATAGAGTATCATTAAATATGTTTTAATAACTTTTCATCATCATAACATCACGCCTTTTATCCTCGAAGGGGTAAGCAGAGGTGCACATTATGCCGCTGTACAATGTAACACCCACTTCTCACTATTTATGTTATGAGTCCCATGTAATAGGGGGTGCTATTGCCATATTTTGATTATATTTGATTTTTTTTTAAAACCAAGATACTTTGCCCGACCCAGGAATCGAACCCGAGACCCCTTGCCCGGCAGTAACACTTGCGACCACTCAGCCAATGAGGCAGTCAATAGCTTTTATCATTGGAATTTCACATTAATCCTTCGTAGAAAATATAATTAATAGAGCCACAATTATCCAACGCTGGTTTACAAGATATTATCAAAAAGGAAAATCTGTACAATTAGTATGTAAAGTTAATTTATAATGTTACCTTTGGTAAACCAAAGAGCATTTCCACGACCCCGAAATGAGTGCCAGGTCCGATTGTCATCTGCCTCCTCCCTAGATTATTCAACAAGTTACAGTGACCCTGTTGGATACAAATTATAACATTTAACAAAAATGTATTACTTACATATCAACCATTGCATTGTAACATAGAATGGCGTAAAAGTTAACTTACGTTTTTCAAGATATACATGTCCCGGCCTATGTCACCAGCATGCTGTACCACCTCATTGTCAGGTAGTATCAACTTTCTTGTGTTACTCGCCACAGTTTGCAGAAAATCTCGATTTAATACCTACGAATAAATTAAAATGCTCTACATCTGTCTTGGATGTTTTACTTAATGCAAACACGCTTTTGTTCATCGTTTTAATCGCAATGAAAATTTCTGGACAGAATTCTAATTACTTTTCGTATATAACCTAAAAAGGAACCTATTTGTTTAACTATAAGTAAAAAGTTTTGGATCGATAACAGATGGCTGCAATTTCAGACCTATAAGTACCACTAAGGAAACTGGACCAAAATTACGACGGTAAATCTACCTGACCATGGAATGAAACATCGCGTTATTGCCCTCAGCAAGTCGTAAAGGAGAATGGAGCCGCAAGGCTTTCGCATTTGCCGAGTGCCAAATACTGACCTAAAACCGTGATGATCTCAGTTTGGTATTCGCGAATTTTGGCCATGTTCGAACATACATTGAACCGGAGAAATGTGTCGGCAATTAGCCGACCAAGGCGAACACTATCGTTTGACGATTTATGACCGCCATTCCCACTATTCGGTGCTCACCGAATCCCGCATATCTGAGCCCGGTTTAACGAAAGCGCAAATAAAACTAGACTTATGTACTAGGTATGTTAAATGTGACATATTTTTAGAAGTAATCAAGTTGGTGGTGTTAAATCTAGCTAGCACATGAATATTTATATGTATACAGACAGACGTTCCACCAAGCTGTATTAAAAATATTTTCGACCTTATGACAAAATGACATGGTTGAAAGTCTATTGAGAAAATGTAAGCAAAGCGTTTGTACAAAAAAAAATCGGTCGTAATAGACACCTACACATGTATCACGTACCTGGAATAAAGGGCAGAAATCCAATGTCCGGACCATTTCTATTGAAAGTACGTCTTGTTGAATATTTGAGGACATGTCTGAGAATATTTCTTGTGTAGACACGGCACGGTTGTAATACCTTTTTATGTAGACAGTATTTATGAGTTAATTAGAAATCTAACTACAAATGGCATCACATCAAAGTACTCTTATTATCAATGGCAATATGTCTACTGCTACATCATGGCTTTCCTTTTAGTTAGGGCTTTTATAAACCTCAGCCTTGGCAGACGACTTGATAAATTTACGATTGCCATTTCTTTGTTATATTTATATAAACTTTATTATGTATACAAAGTTGACATATTAAAAATAAACAGATGATTAGCTTGACAAGCTGGCTACATACAAAAGTTTAATATCATAAAAGAATTTCATACTATAAATGCAAGAACTGCCTCGTTGGCCGAGTGGTCGCAAGTGCGACTGCCGGGCAAGGGATCTCGGGTTCGATTCACGGGTCGAGCAAAGTATTACTGGTTTTTTTATAAATGCTCAGTAGTAGCACGGAGTCTGTAACTGTGCCCGGTATATGGCAATAGGCTCACCCCCTATTACATGGGACTCATAACATAAACAGTGAAAAGTGGGTGTTACATTGTACAGTGGCATAATGTGCACCGCTGTCTACCCTTCGGGGATAAAAGGCATGATGTTATGTTATGTTAAATACAAAAACAAATGTACTTAGACTTAAAATATTAAAGTTATAACCAAGCGTACCACTTACCATTGCACACAGAAGAACTTTTTCACCCGGGCTTTGATTTTTCCACTAACGTGATTTACTGAGAGGAAATAAAACAACTCCCGCATGGATTCCTACGAAAGATGAATGGAGTTATAAATAAAGTCCTCGGGAATATTTTTCTCTTACATTGTAATTAAGATGGAAGAATCTGTCATAGGAAGCTCTCTAGATGATAATAATTTTAAAGAACTAGGGTTGTAAAATATATGCAAATGTTGGCAAAGAATCTAACCTATTAGATATTGTTTAGTACGATTTACAATTTGGAAATTCTCTTGATCCAAACATTTTTAACTCTCAGCCCCTAATTGGGTTGTGTCCGGGGTATCAAAATTACAAATCTAATTAGTCCGTCAGTTAGACAATGAAAAAATATTAGACACGTATTTTTTTATTTTCTCGTATTAAGTTGCAATACTTAGTAAAATGGCGGTAAGTTTAGGAGTGGAAGGTCGTTACGTCATAACGTGCTACAAAATGTGACACGCTGTGACGTCACCCGCTCATTGAGTACCGTCATTATAGACACAATTAAAGAACAATAGGTTGCGATCACCGGTGACCGCTTGGTGTTTGACAGATAAATTTTTGAAGAAGTAAAAAATACGTATCTAAAGTTTTAAATTAATGTACCAGACGGACATTAAAATAAAATTTAGGAAACTACCCCATTGTGGTGGTTGTAACAAAACCAAAAAAACTTATGCCATAAGTAAAGTTACTAAGGAGTTCTAAACGGTGTTTTATAGGTGCCTATAGAAAACTGAAATGCATAGCTAACCAGATTTGCATATTTGAGAGATTAAATTCAACAGAAAATGCCTCATAAAGGAAATCACTAAAAACTAGATAGCATACACGTGGCACCGACGGGCGTTAAAAATCATTCAGCCGTAAACGCCTGACTTATAGACGAGAGAACCCGAAAATGCATAAAATATTTGAATGTTCTATTTTCAATAACTTTACCAACGATTTTCACAAGCCAGTAGTTAAACAACAATAAAAAACTCCAGTCATTGGACAGTTCAAATATAATCAATTCCGTTCCTATCATTCATGTTCAGTGAACCAGAAGATTCCAATATTGTTCTTGTTTTTCAACATCGATTAAAATAGGTACCTACTCCACTCGAAACTCGGAAAATTTCTATTATTTAAAACATTGATTAACTAAAGGTATCAAAGGTATGTTGCGAGGTTATTTTCATTAAAAATTCTTCTGGGAAATTGCTTTTAAATTCAAATTCAGATCATTTGGAACAATATTCAACCTTTTCTAATCACGTTTCAGGCATGAATTAACGGTATCTTGTTGCAATCGGTATTTTCACGTGAAAGTAATGAGATTCCAGGTTTTTCAAATTAAAAGTGTTGTAGGTACCAAGTTACGTACCTTGAATTTCAACTTCCTTTGTGTAGAGAGCAGGTAGTTACTACAGATGTTTGCCGTGTAGAAACAGGACAGGTAAGCACCCAAAACGTATAAGAACATCACCTGGAAACGACATATTTTTGTACAGTCTTACTCTGTCTCATTCTATGAACTCGAAAATATTTATATCAACAGCCTTATGAATATTAAAATGTTCTAGTTGGAAACGTTGCCTATAAATAGGTTATGAATCAGACAAAATACAATTATGTCATTTTAATGAAATATTTTATTGATCTGCCTCGTTGGCCTGTAGTCGCAAATGCGACTGCCGGGCAAGGGGTCTCGGGTTCGATTCCCGGGTCGGGCAAAGTATTACTGGGTTTTTTTTAATTTTCAGTTGTAGCACGGAGTCCAAAATTGTGCCCGGTATATGGCAATAGGCTCACCCTCACCCCCTATTACATGGGACTCGTATCATAAATAGTGAAAAGTGGGTGTTACATTGTAAAGTGGCATAATGTGCACCTCAGCCTACTTCTTCGGGGATAAAAGGAGTGATGTTATGTTATGTTTTTTTATTGATCGACGCCCATTATAGGTATGTATGTACGTATATATTGAAAACTTAACTCTTTTAATATTCAATAATAAAGTACCATAAGATAGGTGTGTATAAAACACTGAATAATAATAACCAGCCTTCTATTAATTCGGACTGTGAAAAACAACCCTAGGTACAAAGTCATTATATATTATCATATTTTTCCTGCTAATATTATAAATATGGAAGATTGTGAGGATGTGTGTGTGTGTGTGTGTGTGTGTATGTGTGTTTGTTACTCTTTCATGTCAAAACGGCTGAAGGAATTAGGATGAAATTTGGAACAAGGGTAGATGATGATCTAGAATAACACATAGGTTACCTTTTATTAAACGAGAACGCGGGCAAAGCCGTTTGCAGAAGCTAGTATGTGCATATTGTTGGAAATAACTAGAAAGAGAAGAAAAGGGGAAATATACCACATATACCTAAGCATATACGTATGTATATTATATTTTAATAGCTGTATTGGCGTTGTTATCATCTAAATATAAAATTTGCATGTCTATAAAAGTGTCGCCAGTTTACACCTCCGGCGGTGGCGCGTCGCTTATCATGATATTCTCAGGGCGCACATTTAGAATTTATAATTAAACGCGTAGGTCGACGGGTTCCCGTCATAACTCCAACTTGCGACATATTTAAATTACAAACGTAAAAACCGCATCACAACTAATTCCACTGTGAATATTTCATTACTTTACTATGATAATTTATCTACCTACATTTGTGTTATTAGAGAAAAGTGTGGATTGAAAGATGAGGTAGTGACAAGGATTGAAAAGGGAATGTTACGCTGGTTTGGACATGTAGAAAGCATGGATGAAAGTAGAGTAACGAAAGAAGTATACAGAGCGGATATGAATGGAGCCGTCGGTAGAGGGCGCCCTAGACGGATATATAGTGACCAGATTGGCGATATATTAAAGAACAGCCAAATTAAAAATACCCTTAACCGACGAGCATGCATGAAAAGATTGATGACTGTTGATGAAGCGAAAGAGGTATGTAGGAATCGTAGTAATTGGCGTTCCCTAGTCTCTGCCTACCCCCATGGGAGACAGGCGTGAAGTTATGTATGTACGTATGTATGTAGTTGCTGTCTATTTCTTTGCCTCCGCAAAGACACATTGTAGAAGTTGGTAGATATACATTAATGCATATTTTTGAGATAATCAAACTTTAATTAACGTTTCTATGAAGTATTACCTACAGTTACAGTATTTTAATAAAATCAAAGACATTATGGTCAATATAACGCTCAATCCAATACATTGAACGTAATGAACAGTCGTTTCTGACTTACTGAGGCCAACGGAGGCTCATAAAAGGGTGTAACAATGAAACAATATTTTCCAATATCTAGTAAATCTTACCTGATCGAAACCACAGGAAAAAACATAGGCCCATAATAAATTGTACCCAACACACCATAAAACTTTTTGTGCATTGAACAAAATTTCAGAGAAAAATATATGGTTATGGTGCGTGCGGTAATGGGAAACATACGTCGGATAAAATATGAAGTGTTTTTGTACCAAGTCCCTGGGATCGCGTTTTACGATAAATTGAACTAGTTTTCTAAATGGCCAAAGTTTTATATTGATAGCACTATTTTTATAATAATATAATGAAGAAATATTGTTCCCTTGTAAACCAACTTTGAGCCTTCATCCGCTTCACCGAGGGATTAAAATAAGAAGTATCAATCTTCGGTCAAGTATCAACAATTTGTTTTATTGAATTAGTTATCTATTTAAGTTGACATCACTCTACGCTGTATTTATAGATCCACACATCATATAACATCACGCCTTTTACCCCCGAAGGGGTAGGCAGAGGTGGACATTATGCCACTGTACAATATAACAAGCAACTTTTTACTATTTATGTTACCAGTCCTATGTAATAGGGGGTCCTATGTATATATGAGCCTATTGCCATATACCGAGCACAATTCCAGACTTCGTACTACTACTGAGAATTTAAAAAAAACCAGTAATACTTTGCCCGACCCTGGATTATATTTACTTAATGTATAGTCTATAATATTGTACGATTTTCATGGCATATGTTGTTCATATCTTTAGTTGGATATCCTATGTACGTAACTAAATAATTTAATGAGTAAATAATAAGTACCATAGGAACATATTTATGTTCCTCCTTTTCCATTTAGCTCTTTTATATGAGCATTCAGTATAGATTTGACTTTGAGCATTACATTACAATAATACCTCCCTGACTAAGGAGCATTTGCGAGTAATGTAACATGTAGATTAGACTTTAAGCATTTCATAGCAAGATGTCAGACATTGATGTTACAAGTTGTATCAAGATATTTATTACACATTGTATCATTACAAGGTGCGCATTGTAATGCTCGGTTCTCCTCCTTCACTGATGTAATGCTCATAGGGCTTAGTACAAGTATGTCTTACATTTAAAGTAATCGAAACAAGACCTCGCTCGGCGCTGTGATTGGTTCTTTCATTGGAGCCGGCCAATCATAGCGCCGAACGCGTACTCGTTTCGATTACTTTTCACGTAAAACAAACTTGTACTAGGCCTTAGATCTGTAACGTTACATTACACGCGAATAATCCCGGTGAAGGAGCACCTTTAAATTAATACTCAATTGTTTAGCTTACTACAAAGAGGTCGAGGCTTCCTGGTGCAACCTCCGAGCTGCCAGTACCAGTGAACACTGACGTGCCGAACAAGAATGACGTCTTCAGAGGGCTCTCGTGACGAGCCTCATTCGTCATGAACACCTTCGTCTCCCAGTATATCAACTGCGACATCCAGGAGTTCTATGGAAGGTACGATAAGATACAATAACATGTCACCACAATATTTTTTATGCTAGGCAGGATTGTACTGAGAATTCCCTTTTTTTAAAAGCTACCAGGTAACACTCGATCGAACCTGTGACCGGCTGCATTGTGGCCGTGCTCCGAGTTATTAAAGGGTTACGTAACCCAATCTGTGGCAATATTGTTTTTGGTACAAAGTAAGGGATAGTTTAGGTAATTGGGTACTTGTCCTACTCAAAAATAAATTATTTCGACTGTTCAGTACAATAAAATATTAAAAAATAATCACACTTTCATTAATTGATTTTATGATCAACTTAATTTTAATACAAATAGTAATTTTTTAACAAATAAGCTGCTGCTGTTTGTCTCTAAAAAAACGTGACGTCACAATATACAATATCGTACCTTTTAAATTCATAGATAACTGACGTTTTTGACAGTTCGAAAAAAGTATTGAATTCGACTAATGGCAAGTACACAATTATTAAATGCCTCTGAGATAATATTTTCGATATAAAAAAAAATCTAGTGAACCATAAATAAGATACATTTGGGAATAAAAATGTTTCAATTAATTACCAGCTATGTAAAAGATATCACGTTTAAATAGCCTTTTAATCAACGCTTTCCGTTTTTAATAATGTAAATTGATTCGAATTTTAAAGATGATCCTCGGGTAACGAGGACTGGCGGCGCATAATGGGACTATATAACGATTCTATACGTATGTAGGTAGATACTTGAAATGTGATGACAAAACGGCCATTGCAATGTAGCAGTTTTTCAATAAGAATACTGTATACAGGGTGACTTGTAACTCGACGTATTCCTCTCAGGAGGTGATAATATACAACTAATTTCCTACAAAATTAACCCTGAGGTCTATGGTCCGAAAATGGCTAGTTTCTGAGATATTCAACATTTTCAGTTTCGGTGAAAAATCCCCGATCGAACTACAGTAACATCAATAAATAAAAAACTACTAGTTTGATTTAAATGATTTTAGTTTTAATTTGTTTTCGATACACCAATAAACATTTATTAATACTAATACTGGCAGAAATATCATTCGTTTTAAAACAGTAAGTAAATTGGAATCAAATTTTGTTTTCGATAAAGTCGAACGAAATATTAAACTCCTTCGTATACGAAAATCATCATAATTTCATTACTTTAGCTGAGGAGACTGGTGTCCAAATTAGACACTAATCTGTATTCCCAGATACAATGACGTATCATGTGATGTTGGTTGTCATAACTATACGCGAACACCATCGTAACTACGCGCTTAAGATACGACGTCGTGAGCGAAGGGGCATAAATAGCTGTCGGTAAGCGATGGATAACATTACCGTTCTTAGCACTAAGCTACATTTACAAAAACCCTATATTTTGATTTAATTTAATGACAAGTCTGACTATTGAAATCTTTGTATAATTAATAAATGGTAAATTAATTTAATATATTTGTACGCCGTTGGTGGGAAGACATAGCTGGTCAATGTAAAGTTTGTAACATCTTTTGTAACCTGTGTTCTACAAATAAAGTATTTTGAATTTGAATTTGAAAAAATATACTATCTTATACTCACAGCCCTGCAAAGCTTCCTTGGACACGCAAAGAGATACAGAAAACATCCAGACCAGTAGCATAATATGACGAATATCAGGCAAAATTTGAACAAAATCAACATCTGAAAATTATAATCGAACTGTATTTAATATGTTGAGACAGCACAATTAGGGATATAGACAGAGTACCGAGCATTGAATGATGCATCGTGTTGACGGCAGAACATAGCCTCAATTTTCAATCTTATGGCAAAATGTTACAGTTGAAATTCTATTACAGTAGTTATACATTGTAGGATGGTTTCATATATTTCATGTCTTTACTTCCATGAAATCAGAGATGATGTCGAGGTATGTACATATGTATGTATGCACGTATGTATATTCAAGGAGAATTTACTACTTCAATCTACTTAGCAGGTAAACGGATTAAAATGATATGCTGTTAACTGTTTCTACATATTCAGAGGTAGATAGTATTATGCTAATAAGATTTAACATTAATTATTATCAACTATTCGTATAACATAGCTACTGTATTGGCCAGGGCTTCGCAGGAAAAGACTCAAAAGAATACTCAGCAAGTAGGAATTTAATGAGGTGTTAACTCAACGGGTACAGCACAGCAAGTGAAGAGATTAGCGTCGGTACATACAAAATAAATTAATACAACTACTTAATTGCTAACATTATACTAAGCACACGTCGTTGCTATGGTATATCCATCAGGCGCTCGTACATTCCCCCGGGTTTTGAAAGCGTTGGTTTCAACAAGATTCATCCGAAGACACGGGCAGTGGGCAGATCCTGTTGAACGCCCTCCGAATGACTCCCGTAGACGTCTGTATGTCAGCTACCCGAACAATGCCGTCTGTTCCTGGGTGAACAGCCACAATTCGTCCTAGTCTCCACTTCAAAGGAGGAAGATTGTCTTCCTTAATCACCACTAAGGTGTTCAGCCTTAAATCATCTTTGGAGGAGTGCCACTTGGTCCGCACCTGCAGTTCGGATACATATTCCTTGCTCCATCTGCTCCAGAAGTGCTGGCGTAGTTGCTCTATTCTATGAAATCGAGACAGATGGTTCATAGAATGATCCCGGTAGTCAGGCTGCGGTAAAGAAGTCAAGGGTCTTCCAACAAGAAAATGACCCGGCGTCAGTGGAGTACAATCTACAGGATCTGATGATAATGGCGTTAATGGACGAGAGTTCAAAACCGCTTCAATTTTAGTGAGTGCAGTGTGAAGCTCTTCAAATGTCAAATTACAATTGCCCAACACTCGTTGCAAATGATATTTTGTTGACTTCACTCCTGCCTCCCAGAGTCCGCCGAAATGTGGGGTGTATGCGGGTATAAAATGGAATTTTATTCCATCATTCGCTGCACTTTCACCCAAGGACGAGCTATTAGCCTTTAAAAACTTAGATAAGTCGTTGTACGCACCAACAAATGAGGTACCATTGTCAGAAAATATATTACTTGGTTTACCTCTTCTAGAAATAAATCGATGCAAAGCTAGTAAGTAACTAATGCTAGATAAATCACCAACAAGCTCCAAGTGAATCGCCTTGGTCGTAAAACAAATAAAATTGCGATATACACCTTTACTAGCCTGCATCCACGGCCTTGACGACTGGCACACATGATAGGCCCGGCGTGATCAACACCAGTGCTCTCAAAGGGATAACCTGGACGAAGGCGTTCTGAAGGTAAGTTACCCATAATGGGAGTGACGACTTTACCCTTCAATCGTCGACACAGAACGCAATTATGATGGCATAATCTTGCCAAATTGCGACCTCCTATTGGCCAGTAAGATTCCCTAATGGAAGCCAGTAATAACTGTGGACCAGCATGCAATAGCCTCCTATGCTCAAAATAAAATAATAATTTGGTAAAAGGATGAGTGGACTGTATTACAATGGGGTGCCTTTTATTAAAATTAAAATTAGAATTATCGAGACGTCCTCCTACTCGAATGATATTTTTGTCATCTAAATATACGTTTAACTTGAGAAGGGCGCTCTTCTTAGGTATGTTCTGATTATTTAAAGTAGTTTATATTCAGGATTCATGATTCACACTGACTTTGTGTGATCACAATATTGAGTGCATTTTGCAACTCATCCTGAGACAAGTAACTTGTCGCTGCATATTGTTTCCTACATGACTTAATGAATCTGACATAAGCTACAGAACGTAAAACTCGTGAATAATTAGAAAATCGACTAAAATCTATAAAACATTATGTGGGATAAAATAACCAGGACACAGATTAGATTTATTTAATTTAGTCATATGACCAAGCGACTCATATTCTGACTTGAAATCACGATACATATCACCAAAACCAGGCTTAACTTTTAATCTACGCTCCAATGACTGTAAACAGTGTGTAGCTTTATTTAAGGAATCACCTAGAACCGACGGGTTGTTCTTAAGGGGTATACGAACACAAAACCGACCATCAGATAATCGTGTCGTATTTTTTACAAAATGTTCCTCGCACGATTTCTCTTCTGGCATGAAAGAACTCAAAGATTTCGGGATTACTTCCTCTAGTTGCCAAATTTTTATTAAATCGGTTCTAAGTTTCTCCCAGTCATGATTAATAGGAACAGTACTACTTAAATTACATTTTAAATTAGTTGAAACTGAAGAACTACAGTTTTGAGTAATTGGACCGGAGACTATCCATCCTAGGCGAGTCTCGAATAACATCGGTTCTCCGGTACCTAAGCTTAATCTTTGCGATCCTAGTAAATCCCAGAAGAGATCAGCACCAATTAAAAGATCTACATCAGCGGGCTTATAAAAAGTAGGATCAGCTAAAGTAATATTCGGTGGAATATTAAAGTTACTAATATTTATCTCACGACACGGAACATTACTAGTAATGTATGGCAACACAAAACAGTGAAGTTCGAATTTAAAGTCATCATTTAACGATTCTACTTTAAATCGACATTGTTTGCCTACGTTGGACGTGAGATTATTAATACCAAGTATACACCTATTTACCTGGCTAGTTTGTAAGTTTAATTGTCTACATAACCGGTTCGTTATGAATGACGATGTGCTGCCGCTATCGAGTACTGCGCGAACGAGATGCACACAATTATTGCCGTCGCGCACCTTGACCAGAGCGGTTGGCAACAACACGTCTCGCTGCATATGACCACTGGAGGATGCAATATGTGCTGATAACGCGATGTTATTTATCTCAGTGGGAGCAGACGGTAACGAAGACGAGGTAGACAAGTTATTAGCAGTGTTATTATCATTAAGTGTACCCGAAATAGTGCCTTTAAAATCTGTGTGAATCAGTGTGTTATGCCTACGTTTGCATAATTTACAACCTGGCTTCTTGCATTTGTTAGCGTAGTGACCCGAGCGAAAACAATTGTAACAAATTTTATAATTGGGTAGTAATTTAAGTCGAGCATCATTTGTTAAAGCGAGAAACTGTGGACAAGTATTTAGCGTGTGATCAGTGTTGTTACATTTAGGACATGCTTTAGAAGATAATTCAGTAATAGAACTAGTAGGAGACTGTGTAGCTACCATAGACTTAATTTTAGGACCTGTTTTAACTACCATTTGGGAATTATTTGTGCGAGATATTTCTAATGTCTCGATTAGATCGGCTCGACTACGTAAGAATTGCATAAAGACATCAAATGTAATCGGGCTGGCTTTGTCTAACCTACCTTTACACTCTTCCCACTCACGATACGTCTTTTGGTCAAGCTTACGAGTGACAATGTAAATGAGCAGCGTGTCCCACTGCTTTACTGGCTCCCCTAAAGATTCTAAAGCTCGTAAATCCTTATTCAGCTGATCGATTAAACTCTTTAATGCAACAGAAGATTCCTTTGAGAGCGACTCAATATTAAACAGGGCAGATACATGATTTTGTACCAGTAATCTTTTGTTGTCAAATCGATCGCGTAACAACTTCCATGCCACAGAGTAGTTGCTCGACGAAAACTCAACAGATTTAATTACTATCGCAGCAGTACCTTCGAGAGATGCTCTCAGGTAGTGAAATTTGTTGATGTCGTCGATGTCATCATTAGTATGAATGAGACTAGCAAAGGTGTCACGAAATTCTAACCAATTAGAATATAAACCGCTAAACTTAGGCAATTGGATCGTAGGCAATTTGACTGGTTTGTGCATGCTACCAGGTGTACTGTTACAGCTTTCCATCGATTTATTATCTTTATTAAAGTCTATCAAAATATTTTGGGCTCTAGACAGGGATTTATAATAAAGGGACTCGAAATCAGAACGCTCAGAAATTTGTAATTTTATATCGTCGGCCATGCATTCCAGACGCAACTGTACCTCATCATATTGTTCATACAACGACTCGATCTTGCCCATGCGCAATTGCAGTTCAGAAGCATCACAACTAGTTAACGTTTTGTCCTTAAGTGAGTCCAGGAAGTTGACGAAAGCAGTCAAACGGCCTTTGAAGCTACCTCGCTTTTTGATTAAATCCCTTTCCTCGGACATACTGGAAGACGAGAGTGTAGTCAACCTGAAACTGATACAGATCTACTTGTAATAATGAACAATACAATTTACATATACACCTAACTGTTTTATACACTAATTAACAACCTTTGCAATTAATACAATTAATAATATTGCAAGAAAACCAGTATATAAACCAGAAATCCAATTGTTAACAAAGACAATGTAATTTTATTTTTAATTGTGCAAGTACCTACAATTCTAAGGTTGTAAAAAAAAACTGATTTGCTATAGAAAAGCTAAATTTTAAGCATTAATTGTTATTTAATACATGTACAACTGATAATAATCCTTTTGAATACTAATAACTTTATTAATTTAAACAATGACTTGCAATAATATCTACACTCGAATGAAATGTATTGCGGGTAAGCTACCTACTCGTGACAATTAACAAGTCCTCTAAAAATGTGATTTAGCTACAGCTTTATGGAAATTAAGCAAAATAATGTAGCAAGGCTAACTATACTATATTAAGTATGAATTTAAACTTAATTAAAACTGTGAAAAATGCTAATCACAAGTAACAAGTACCTAATGACTGCAAATTGCACGAACACAATACTGGTAGATAAAATTATAAAAAATGATACTGGCCTTTTATTCAAGACGACGACCTTATCTTATACTACCTGAGTGTTGGGTGACGATATTATTTAAATTAAATGCTTTACACCGCTAATTACTGCTTGAGTTTAGTCCAATCCAATATCCAATATCCTCTGTTTATATGCGCTGATCTTCTGTATATAATGTATCCGGCTCGAAGGACCATGTATTGGCCAGGGCTTCGCAGGAAAAGACTCAAAAGAATACTCAGCAAGTAGGAATTTAATGAGGTGTTAACTCAACGGGTACAGCACAGCAAGTGAAGAGATTAGCGTCGGTACATACAAAATAAATTAATACAACTACTTAATTGCTAACATTATACTAAGCACACGTCGTTGCTATGGTATATCCATCAGGCGCTCGTACAGCTACTCAATTAAAAAATACGTTAATTTACGTCAAAGTTAAAGTCAAAGCATTTATTTCAAGAAACCATGATTTGGTACTTTTGAAACGTCAACAAATACAAAATAAATAATAGTTTATCAATAGCTTCCTATTGGCTCATTCCAAAATGTAGATTCGAATGGAAAAGAACGAACAATAAACTCAATTCGTTACTCTTTTTAAAAAGTATGTTCTACAATGTCTCTGATACATATTCCAATACTGTACGTATATGTGAGAATAATGCAAAGGCACGCTTGACGCATTATACTAATTACAAAAATTACTAAAATAAAAAACAAAACAAACATAAAAAAAATCTTATAGTCAAATATGGTGCTCACATATTATGCATACTGAGTATATGATAGTAATATAAGGACCATTGATAGGATCTTCTTTTATGATCTTTGGCATGGAAAACAAACACAAGTTTGACAATGGCTTATAACCTTAAGCGCTAGAAAGCATCATAATCTATTTATTGTCCATGATAGATACTGTTGTTACAGGAAAGACAAACGAAATACAAATGAAATAAAACTTACTTTCGTATGGCTATTAAAATTCTTGGCCCACTTGTTTATATAATGCCATATATGCCACACTTGTAGGATCGGGAATAGCATAGCTATTTGACCAGCCACCGTCTCTCCTTGAGGGTCCATAGTATCAGTGAATATAGACACAGGGAACACAGATACAATATCCAGGTAGAAACCAAAAGACGCCATTTTTACTTCTGCTATTTCTTTTACCGTTTCTTTGAGTACGTTCTGTAGAAGATATAAAATGTTGGTTACGTTGCTCATAGTATCAACATGAATTAAAGACGGTGGTTCTATCAGAGACAGGCATTGATATTTCTAATAAAGAAAAATGTAGTAATGTGTATTAATCAGTAAAATATTTGTGTGACCCGAACTGCATAATAGTCATTTAATTTCAAGTTAAGCGCACATGATTCGCCACAAATACAAAAAGCAGAAAATTTTTTTTTATTTTACTTTTACCGGTTCAAACTCTCTCAAACCTACTCTGCTTCATGATACATTTTTTACAGCTTCAACCAACTTTTGTTACAGGACGGCAGTTTACATTAGAACGTAGGGATAACGACCCGGTCACGATGCGGCTGCGGTCGTGGTTTCGTGCTTAGCCATAACAGTGAAGCGAATCCATACAACATCAACGTTTACACCGAACGTGAATCAAACATCACAATGTCATTAATTGATTTCAATTAACCGTGTACACGCGACCAAACCGCTCTTTGTGTGGGTCGATCCAATCAAGCAGGGCTCTTTGTGCCCCGCAATAATAACTACAATAGCGCACAGGGCCTTTATTTGATACAGTTTATAGGGTATTCTGAACGTAACCATTACCTGGCTATGCCTAAACCTTTGATATTTATTCTTATTGTTTTCTCTAAGTAGAAATGTGTGTTGTGTTTTTCGTTATTGCGTATGTCATGGCGGCAAACATTCGTTTCAGAGTAATTGTAGTTTGTTTATGAAAATTTTCTTATGTAACATGTTATTTATGCTTTAAAACTGTTTATAAGAAAAATCCTTGAATTTCAGTGTAATCGTAACAAACACGTGTTTAAATGGCAGCTAATGTGCTTGCCACGTGGCCTGCGGCGCTTCCGAAGTTTGTAGACCGAAACTTAGCCAAAGAACAAACAACTTACCGACAAACTATAATATTTTGTTACAAACATTTTACAACGATTACATTTTTTGTTTACAAAATTGTTAGTATTTTCGCCACATAGAAATTTTCGTCTATTTTCTAAAATATATTCGTAAATATGTACTGCTTTGCCTCGTTGGCCGATTGGTCGCAAGTGCGACTGCCGGGCATAGGGTATCGGGTTCGATTCCCGGGTCGGGTAAAGTATTACTGGGTTTTAAATAAATCTCAGTAGTAGCACGGAGTCTGGAATTATGCCCGGTATATGGCAATAGGCTCACCCCCTATTTCATGGAACTCATAACATAAATAGTGAAAAGTGGGTGTTATATTGTACAGTGGCATAATGTGCAGCTCTGCTTACCCCTTCCTGCCGGGCAAAACATTCACCTGTTGTAAATAAAAGGTTAAATATTTTACACGCTTGATCATACACTTACATCTTCATATGTAGCTGTAGTCAGTTGCATGTATATATTTATTAGAAAGGCTGCGACCACAATAGTGCCGAGGACCTTCTCAGTATCCGAGTGATGGTTCTGGAGTGCAGAGTATGGAGACATGAAGCACACGTACACGATGATTAGAAAGTGAGCTACGTCAAACATGTGTATCTGTAATAAAAGGACTTTCTGTTAGTTTAACCTCTCGCACGCCTCTCGTACACTCGGGTATACGCGCGTTCTCGTACACACGGGTAAATATTTTAATAGAAAAGCGAATTAACTATTATGTTCAATCAAATAAAGAACGGGTTGCAAACTTAAAAATATTCGTCACAGTAAAAATATTCAATCGGTGCGCGTTTCTCGTACACCCGTGTGTACAATTGCGCGATGGGCACTCAACTCTCTCGTACACCCGTGTGTACAAGAAACACGCGAGCGGATAAAGCCAAGGTGTATCCTCCAAGGAGACAAATGTCAGGCGAAGCCGACGTCGCATATCAAAAATGTGCGAGCTCCCTCTACGCATCATAAGAACTTGCGCATTGATTCGCATTGCGCATCAAAATCTTATCTTCCCAAAATCTTTTTTCTGTATCTCCTAAGCAATAACAGGAAGTACACACTTCTTTTTACGATCCATGTCACGACTTAGTTTTCAATTTAAAATACGTTTAGTACGGTTGACGGTCGTCGCAGGAATGGTCACCCTGGGAGATGCCTTGTCGCAAGAAATCGCATCGCAGCAATGAGCATCGTAATTTTCTGCGTTGTGAATTCGTATCGCATCGCATCGTAGTTTTGTGCACGAGTCCTACATCACTTCTTAATTTTTAAATGACTTTCCTTGTATTAATTTCATCATATTGTCAAACATGTGTTAATGTAATTGCCGCATTTCTGTGAATGTAATATTGTGAAATTTTGTACAATAAACAATTTTTATTTATTTTATTTTTATAATGAAAATGATTCACAAAACATCTTTTATGTTAGAAGAACCCAGACAAAATTTGTTAATTATATTGTGTAGGTACTAATTGCATCGCAGTTTTGTATACGAGCCCTATATCCACAGCAACGTTGATGTTGAAAGTTTGGCAACATCGCGCTACTCCCAACGTCGTCGCTGGCAACATGTGTCATAGCGTGGCTTTACGTTCAGCGTAATACTCAAACGTTACTCTATTTTAAGTTGCACTTAAAAGTAGTTCTATCATTACATATTCTTTGCAAATTGACAGAGATGGCACGATATTTAAATACAACAGACTTTAAATTGAGTATAGCCTTTCAGTACACGAGCGTAAGTATATTATTATGAAACCGATGTTTCATTTCACCAAATAATAATCTATTGAATCCTTTCGAAATTCAATAGATAATAATGAAACTGTAAAGTTTATTATTATTATAAATTAAAAGCAATTAACGCAATACATGCGTTTTACTAAACCGGTTTACTATGTTTTTATAATAACTATCGTGAGACATACTAAATCAAGTAAAAACGCGGGCTACTCACGTGAATATACTGAGAAAAGCTCTACTAGTTTCGAACCACAGAAGGGTTCAGTGAGCTGCGAGACGTCGCAGCGACGTCTCGCAGCTCACTGAACCCCTCTGTGGTTCGGAACTAGTAGAGCTTTTCTCAGTATATTCACGTGAGTAACCCGCGTTTTTACTTGTTTTACTAAACCCTTTATAGGCAAAAGCGTACAAAAGCTTCTACAACCTAAAACTCTTTAACAATACGACATAAATACAAAATATAGAAAGTATCAACTTACAAAGTCGGTATCGGGTATCAATATCCATGGAAAGTTAGATCTTAGACAAATATGAGGTGCATCTATCGTGGTCACGTTACTGGACATTTGATATAGCTCAAGGAACTCCGTAGTGAACTTTGGCTGGCGTTCATTATTCTCGTCTAAACAACAAATTACTTAGGATGGTAAACTAAGGTCTACGGAGGTGCTACGGCGTAGGCACTGGCTATGAAGTTTTCGTAGCAATGTCGTAGACCTCTATTCTCAATGGTATTTTCAAGTCTGTCAAATTGTTATGGGAATCCATCTAGATACAATTTACTGAACATTTGATCTTTTAAGAGATATTGAGATTACGAATGGTTACGTAGTAAAGAAAAATAATAACATAACATCACGCCTTTTATCCCCGAAGGGGTAGGCAGAGGTGCACATTAAGCTCCTGCACAATGTAACACCCACTTTTCACTATTTATGTTATGAGTCCCATGTAATAGACTCAATAAGACAAATAAGACCCAATAAGACAAAAAAAAAAAAAATTATTTTTAAAATTGCTCCGCTTAATATTTTACCAGTATCGTAGTGTGTATTTTTGCAAAACCCTAAACTGAAATAAATTTCGTACATAAAACTCCATCCACACAAACTCAACAGTACAAAAACCTTTTCACTTGAACATAATAACTATATTACCTCTATAATACATGTGAGAGTCATCCACAAAAGTAGGGTCCTCCTCTTCAGCTCCAGTCAACTTGTCTTTAAGCACCTTCATTGGTCGGTAGCGGGTTCGAATTAGCCTCGAATCACCTTTATCGTAATTTTCTATTGCTTCCTAGAGAATAAAAAAAGAAGTTTTGACTTTTTAACTAACTGTGTTATTAGTCTAATGTCGTGGTGGCAAAAGGTCTAGGCTCAATAAAGTGTATGTATACATAATACACTCACTTCTCAGTAGCTTTAACCTTGTCTAAGGCCCGATTTACAAACTTTGTCGCGGAGAACCTAACGGGTAACCGGGGCTCCGGCTCGACGTGCAGGAGAAGGAACGGGGTGGTTTTTAGTCAGTAAGAGTCTGACACTCCCTCTCGCCTCACCCAGGCGGGAGCAGTCATTCGATGATTTTCCCCCCTTAAAAAAAAGGCCCGATTTAACAATCATCAGTTAATTCTTAACTGTAGAATAAAATTGACATTTGACAGTTTTCAGTATGGAACGATTGTCAAATATTCAAAACTAGCTTCTGCCCGCGACTTCGTACGCGCAATCCCATTTTCCTTCCGTTCCCGTTTGTGATTTTCGGTAAAAAGTAAAAAAAAAGTAATGTATAAAAAGTATCATATGTCCATCTCCTGGTTCTAAGCTACCTCCCTGCCAATTTTCATCTAAATCGATTGAGGCGTTCTTGAGTTATAAATAGTGTAACTAACACGACTTTCTTTTATATATTTATATAGATTATTCCTCAGTTAAAATTTATCTTCCGTTGGAAAAATCGACCTTTATGTAATATGGGATCATAATATATCTTAGGTACTATTACTGTGGTGGTGGCCCGGAGGTTTAAGACGGCGCTTCTCATGCATGAGGGTGCGGGTTCGAAACCTACCAACAGCAAGTATCAATGTGATTTGCCGAGTTATATGTACTTTCTAAGATTATTTAGACATCATTGACAAACAGTGAAGGAAATCGTCGTGAGGAAACCTGAACTTTATAATTTATAATTATAAGTTTGAAATCGGCAACCCGCTTTGAGCAAGCGTGGTGATTGATGCTCAAACCTTCTCCGTGTGAGACGAGGAATTTGATCAGCAGTGGCCACTTATTGGCTGATGATGTGTATTAGTCTAGTGGTCACAAATGTGACTGCCGAATAAAGGGTTCTCGGGTTTGATTCTTGGGTTAAGTTAAATATTATTAAGTGGAGTTTGACATAGCGTCCAATGCAAGGCAATTGATTCCTCTTTCTTTAAAGGGACTAATGTTATAACTAGAAAAGAGTGAGTGTTACATAATAATATCACTTTTCTAAAAATCGTAGGTTTGATTCCAAGGTGATATTTTGTAAGTCCGAATTTCACATTCAAAATCAGTATTTATGGAAATAGGTCTATTCTATATTAGCGTGACAAGTTCACAAGTGAAATGTCAGCATATATTACACCTCTACCTAATCCCTTAGGGAAATCAGACGTGATGTTATATTACATATGTCGTATCTATGTATATAGTCCATAGCTAAATTGTAATACATATAGGTGTTCCCTCATCGGGAGCATTCACGTGTAATGTAACATTTAAAGGACTGCCTCGTTGGCCGAGTGGTCGCAAGTGCGACTGCCGAGCAAGGGGTCTCGGGTTCGATTCCCGGGTAGGGCAAAGTATTACTGGGTTTTTAAAAAAAATCTCAGTAGTAGCACGGAGTCTGGAACTGTGCCCGGTATATGGCAATATGCTCACCCCCTATTACATGGGATTCATAACAAAAATAGTGAAAAGTGGGTGTTACATTGTACAGTGGCATAATGTGCACCTCTGCCTACCCCTTCGGGGATAAAAGGCGTGATTTTATGTTATGTTAAAGGTTCAACTTTGAGCATTACATTACAATAATACCTCCCTGACTAACGAGCATTTGCGTGTAATGTAACATATAGATTCGAATTTGAGCATTTCATAGCAAGATGTCAGACATTGATGTTACAAATTGTATCACGATATTACACATCGCATTGTAATGCTCGGTTCTCCTCCTCCACTGATGTAATGCCCAGATCTTAACACTATTGTATAAGGAAACAACAATAAGATTGTAATTGTAAATATAGTAAATACTTTTTTGATCCTCGAAGATATGATAAATAAGGAGAAATAGAGGCATAATAACATATATCAAATAAATTAACATAACATAACATTTTTATCCCCGAAGGGGTAGGCATATGTGTACATTACGGCATTTAATGTGTACAATGTAACACCAACTTTTCACTATTTATGTTATGAGTCGCATGTCTCATGCGGGGGGTTAGCCTATTGCCATAATACTTACAGGTTTTTTTTAAACCCAGTAATAATTTGTCCGACTCAGAAATCGAACCCGATACGCCTTGCCCGGCAGTCGCACTTGCGATAACTTAGCCAACGAGCCAGGAATCAAATAAATTAATTATAATTAACACACCACCAATTTTATGATACCAAACATCCGTAATAACAACAAAAATATCAAAAAGATGAGACAAAGAGCGACTTTTCATTACTATTTATTCCAAAATTATCATTTACTTCAAACAATAAGTATCATAGCAGCGTTAAAGAGCAAAAGTTTGACGTAATATTGAAATAATGTAACATTTAAATATTGAAATTACTACTACTTTATTATTCCAGAGAATTTCAGGTGGGCGTGCTGAACAAACTGCTGTGGCCGAAACTAAAACCTACAACTGAAACTCGAAATGAACATTGTAAACGGTTTTAAAATGGCCGCCCAGATTGTGAAACAAGTTCGCTTTTTAGTTATGATAAAATATTGTACTTAACTTCTTAATTGATAAAACTTTAAGACTTGCAAAACAGTGTTTACATGAACAAAACTTTCTAGACAATTCTATGTTGCCTATTAAAGTTTGTCTGTGCTTTGTTGTATACATATAACATCACGCCTTTTTATCCCCATAGGGGTAGGCAGAGGTGCACTTTTCGGCACTTAATGCCACTGTACAATGTAACACCCACTTTTCACTATTTATGTTATGAGTCCCATGTAATAGGGGGTGAGCCTACTGCCATATACCGGACACATTTTTCCAGACTCCGTGCTACTACTGAGATTTTTAAAAACCCAGTAATACTTTGCCCGACCCGGGAATCGAACCCGAGACCCCTTGCCCGGCAGTCGCACTTGCGACCACTCGGCCAATGAGGCAGTAGAAAAAACATTTAATGGTATTTTTCACTTAAAGAAATTTTCTGTGGTATTCTATTAGTTTGAATCTGGATCTATTTATGATCTTTATAATAGTAGGCTACTATGTAACACGACATCATTTGTTTTTTTTTAATATAATATATATGTCCTGTTATTTTTGTTCCTTCACTATCACTACATAGTATAAAACAAAGTCGCTTTCTCTGTCCCTATGTCCCTTTGTATGCTTAAATCTTTGAAACTACGCAACGGATTTTGAAGCGATTCTTTTTAATAGATAGAGTGATTCAAAAGGTAGGTTTATATGTTTAATACATGCATATTGCACCCGTACGAAGCCGGGGCGGGTCGCTAGTATAGTATAAGATATGGAGTGTACAATTCCGAAATAAAGAATTTAATATTATATTATTATTATTTAATTTATGATTCCATTTTCATTAACCACATACAAATGGGCTACATTGCATCTATACACATTTTTAACGTAGGTACCTATCCCTTATTTATTACTAGGTTTTCGAATCAAATTTAAAAGCCCTTTATTACTTTTCACGGTCTGGGAAGAGACTTCCTACTACCGCGGTTGTTCTTTTATACAATCTGTATATTTTTAAAGGTGGATAATCATCGAATGACTTCTCCTGTATGATGAGGCGAAAGGGAGTGTCAGACTCTTACTGACTAAAAACCACCCCGTTCCTACTCCTGCACGTAGAGCCGGAGCCCCGGTAACCTTTTGCGCTACTGACGTCGATGCGGACGAATTTTTCGATGCTTTGTGTAAATAGTTATTTTTAGTTTTCTTTTATTAATTTTTTAATTTAAGTTGTATATGTTTAGTAATTGTTAGTATTTATGTTGAGTATTAAGTATATTTTAAAAATAACTTTCTTACCTGTCTGGTCTTCGCTGACTTGAGTCTTGTATCAATTTTATTTTTTATCAGTTCATACATCGCCGGGTGCTCAACGATTACTCGCATAAAATCTGTTCTTCGTAAAACCTGTGAGATTTCATAATAGTAACTATTACAATTTTGTATACATATAAAAATGTACCATAACATAATCCGTGCATGATATTTAAATTGAATTGAAGTATTTAATTAGCTATACTTTCTATAAATCTACAAAAAAAGTCTGCCTCATTGGCCGAGTGGTCGCAAGTGCGACTGCCGGGCAAGAGGTCCCGGGTCGGACAATGTATTCAAATATCTCTTCAAATACTACCTCTCAAAGATAAATCAGAAATAAGTTATAAACCATTCATCCATGACAAACGGAGAACCTAGACCACCTTATATGCCAACTTTACAAACACATATTTTTTTTAAAGGGGGAAAGTCATCGAATGACTGCTCCCGCCTGGGTGAGGCGGAAGGGAGTGTCAGACTCTTACTGACTAAAAACCACCCCGTTCCTTCTCCTGTACGTCGAGCCGGAGCCCCGGTTACCCGTTAGGTTCTCCGCGACACAGACACATACTTAGGAACCACTTAATTAAGTAAGATCTATTTACCTGTAGTTCTACGTAAGTAGCTGCTTTCACAGTAACTTTGGATGGGATTGAGTAGAACAGGCTAAGCTCTCCGAGTACCTGTAAAATATAATTACTGCTTATGTCCCCAACAACAGAGGCCCATCATTAGTGACTGGCCGTTGTACTTGGAATACAACTTATAACGAACTTTTTGTATCTAAACTTAAAGTCGAATCTCACTGTTTAGTTAAGGTTTTTTTTAATTCGTATTTCTTAGGGGGTTTTTTAAGTGTGTATGATACGTAAACGTATAGTTTTGGGAATTATATTACAGTCATGAAATATTTTACATTTTTTTTTATATCACTGAAATGTTAGGCAAGCTTACTACCCGCCTGAAAGAAGCAGTTACCGTACCTTATATAGTTATGTACGTCTATATAATACCAGAATTATCGCTTACGCCTCGCCAACCCTGGTTTATTTATCTGACAGTTACCCATAAATAAAATCGCAGTAAAAACCACCCCTTAAAAGAGCTCTTAGCTAAAACATGGACTGAAGCCTATAAAACGTATCAAGCATATATTTTCTAGGGTCAAATTACTTAGGTAAGCACTAAGTACTTGTAGAAAGTTCTAGAAAGACAGACAAAATAATTTTTGCAAAGTTTCAGCACATTTTCTCTTATAATAATTAAGGTTCTCAGAATGTAAAGTTTCGTTGAATCAACAAAGGTCTAGTTAGAATAGAAGGCCTTGGATCCTATAATGATTATTAGAAATCTAATCTTTCGCTCAATATCAATTCCCTATACAAACTTTACTTCGGATCCTGGGTTCAACAAACATCTGTACTAAAATTATAGAAGAAAGATTGAATAGGCTCTGAAACTATTCGATGAATTTTGAATACTATTTCACTATTAAAAAGGTTAATTTTCAGGGAGAAAAACAGCCTTGTTATGACGATATTATAACAGTATCAGGACCTACCTGACATAAACCTACTATATTCCGAAATTGTAAGTAGAAAATAAAACAAAATATGAAACAAATCTTACTCACAGTTCCGTCTTTGAAGGCAATCATAGGACTCTCATCATCTTCGTCTGACAACATTTCTATGACGCCTCTCTTAATGCAGATCATTCCATTCTTAACAACACCCTGGCTCCAGATATGCTGCCCAGCCAAGTACAACTCGTGACGCATCAAGAGAGAAATTTGACGCATGAATGATTCCTCTATAAATTGATAAAATCTGTTATATTGATGCCCGATACCGGAGCCGCGGAAGGCCTAACTGATTATCGAGATTCCGATTTGAAGTGCAGAAGTAGGAACGGGGACGGTTTTAGTCAGTAACTGTGGGAGAGTCATGCTTTGGCACAAATGGGCCAGCTCGACCGGAGTTCATTAATACGTACAATGGTTGAGACATACCCAATATTTGCATGCCCAACGGGTAGAACAAAGAGATACAATATGTAACAAAAATAAAAATAACACCTTAGTCACTAATTATGTACTACACCTCTGTTCAGCAAATAAAGACATTTGATTTGATTTGATTTGAGTGATACCAAGGCCTCACAGAAAACAAAGGCCGGTAACTGGTCCATGGGCAACGCCGATTGCTTTCCATCAGGTGATACGTCAACTCGTTTGCCGGCTTATTCCATAAAAAAGTAAGAGTCTGACACTCCCTGCCTAACCTAAGGCGGGAGAAGGATTGGATTATTTTCCCCCCTAAAAAAAAATAAGACCAGTATAGTGTTTACTTAAAGCAATGATAATTTTAAAAAAATACAGTGATTGCTACAATGATGGATGATAAGCAAAAAAATATAGGCAGTAATATCTTGGCAATATTCATCAATCAACTTCAACGATACTACGAATAACATCCGCATAAGCAATTTACATAAAACTACTAAAAACATCGACAAGCTCTGAAATCCTCAAGGACTTTCTCTAAGAATGTTCCACTTAATACCAACAATAGAAGACTAACGAACTTTAATAAAATGTGCACGAAGCAGCTCTTAATTAACGAAAACTTCCATCCTATACAATATCATTATCAAGAGCTACAAAGTAAACGCCTCCGTTTTTACGAACTTCCACTGAATTAACAAAGGTATTGAATTCAATGCAAACTTCGAGGCTCCTATTATAAAGTTATTCAGCAATAGATGGAAGATATAGTACAAATTACACTAACGAGTATCTCTAAATAGCATGGAGTTATGGAAATTCCCGACGTTAATGTCGAAGATTAGTTCCATCTGTAATGGCAGCGGCAGTTTCTGTAGTTGGTCCGATCTCAGTATCCCCGCCTTCATTTGCCACAGTTGAAGCTTATAGTTCTTACACTGTTCAACGAGCCAAGATGGCGCCATGTTAAACTTTAGGTACTTCATCATGTGATGGTACTGAAATTAAATTAATTCGATCTCAATTTACCGCCAATTATTCATAAGGATTAAAAACTGTGCAATCGGATCATGAATATTTATGCTATGCTTTTTAATGAATTATTAATTTTCAACCGAATTCACATATTAATATGTTATTTATCAATGAGTAAAGGCAACAATGTTCGGTTTACATAATCATTACCTGTATTAATACATAATTATGTATTGTGAAGGAGTTTACTGTTTGTTAAATTAAAATAAACACTATACGTATTATGGCATAAAGCTCACCCTATCAACGAAGTGTGCTCGTCTAGAATTCTCAAGGACGAGTTCCCATGAAAGAGTGCCTATAAATCGAAATCGAAAGAAGACATATCCAGCGAGCATCAACCCTGTAGTCAACCACTTCTCCATGCCACGCTGTAAGTTAAATAAAATAACATTTATTTTCTTTCTTTGTATTGTAACTTTCGTGAGATATACTAAATAAATTATTATGTTTTCGGCTTACTCACGTAATAATTTGACAAGGAACTCGACTAGTTTCATGCTAGAGGCTCATATTGCGACGCGGCGACTGTCGGGCTGCTCGCTGCTGCTGCTGGGTCGCGAAATGCTGCTCTTGAATATGAGCCTCTAGCATGGCTTGAAACTAGTCGAGTTCCTCGTCAAATTATTACGTGAATAAGCCGAAAACACAATATTTTATTTATTTACTTGTAATAAAGTAAAAACTAAACATGCCATGCAAATTTCCTCTCTACTCTTCATAGTAAAGAATTAGACACAGCGTATATAATTGGTGCCGCCGGTAAAGATCGCTCTAAACAGTCGACATATGTATGTCGACAAGATTGGTCAAATATATTATTAAAGAAGAGCCGAATTAAAAGTACCCTTTACTGAAGAGCATGCATGAAAAGACTGATGACTGTTGATGAAGCGAAATAGATATGTAAGAATCGTAGCAATTGGCGTTCCATAGTCTCTGCCTACCCCCATGGGAATCAGGCGTGAGGTTATGTATGTAGCACTTTGTACTACTTTTTGCTCGGATTTCTTTTGTATGAACTCAAATTTAATGATGCTACGACTATAATTACAAACCGATAATCATATACAAATGCACAACATAAAATTAAGTTTACACGGCAAAAATACTTGTACTACTTATTTATGTAGTAGTATATTATGTTTGTAGTACTTTCCAGTACTTCAAACTTCACGTGTCCCTAATTCATATTTCTTCGAAATCGTTTGCTTGAACTAGCGAATAGAAATCCAGAACCGACACGTTAGTCACTCATAATAATAAATCTTAAAATTTACTCTAGTTGGGAGTATTAGTTAGTATAACAAATGCACAAAAATATTACCGTAGGAAACGAATCCCCAAATGTGACGTTGAAGAATCGACCAGTGCAGTAGTACCAACATGTTTTGTAACTGTAAAAATAATAAAGGTGTCATAACATCACTATTATGAAAAAGTCACAATATATACTCTGTAGTAGCCCGTAGTCTGGAATTGTGCCCGGTATATGGCAATAGGCTCAACCCCCTATTACATGGGACTCTTGACATAAATAGTGAAAAGTGGGTGTCACATTGTTAAGTACCGTAATGTGAACCTTTGTCTACTCCTTCGGGGATAAAAGGCGTGATGGTATGTCGTGTTCACAATATTTTTTTTACGTAACAAATCTTTGTAACTATATTTATAATAACTTTTATATAAACTTAGTTTAAAATACCGACTTCAACCTCCTTCTTTATTTGTTGGTTATTACCAATGTCGGTAAACTTACGCCCGAATACTGAAAGGCTATATTCCATTTGAAGTTATCCTTAAAATTCGTGCTATCTCTATCATTTTACAAATAATTTCTAGTGACAGAACTATACATAAACGCGACTTAAAGTTGAGTGGCGTTTGAGTATTTGAACATTCGACATACCTAAAGAACCTCAAGCTCCTTGAATGTACATGCTGTGGATATCCAAGATTATGCCAAGGGTGTTCCATTTCTGGTAACTTGTTTAAGGCATACCATATACAAGTGGCAGCGTGAAGTATTAACGTAACGGTTATAGTATGTTCACTAAAGAATAATATTCGACGTGATTTACGCATCTGTGGACACAATAATAAAGGAT